ATCTGCATTTCTCTTTGGAGAAGTGTCTTTTTAGCTCTTCTGCCCATTTTTTGATGGGGTTGTTTATTTTTGTTGAGTTTCATCAGTTCTCCATATATTTTTGTGATTAATCTTTTATTGCTAGTTTAGGGTGAGAAAATTTTTTCTCAACAGTGGGATGTCTGCTTGGTTTTTGTTATGTTTCTTTTGCCGTACAGAAGCTCTTTAAGTTGATGTAGTCCCATCTATTTATCCTTGCCTTCACTATCATTGCATTGGGTGCTGTATCTTTAAAGATGTCGCTGAAGTGTATGACGTGTAGTATTTGGCCCATCTTTGCTTCCAGGTATTTTTTGGTTTCCGTTCTTATATCTAGGTCTTTAATCCACTTTGAGTTGATTTTTGTGTGTGGTGAAAGGTAGTGATCTAGTTTCATTTTTTTGCATGTAGCTTCCCAATTTTCCCAGCACCATTTTTCTGGACAAATGTTCTTTGTTCCATTGTATTTTCTTTGCTCCTTTGTCAAAGACTAGCTGTCCATAAGCCTGTGGGTTTATATCTGGGTTTCTATTAGAAACCTGTATGTCTGTTCTTGTTCCAGTACCATGCGGTTTTGATTATTATGGCTTTGTAGTATAGCTTGGGACTGTAATGCTTCCATTCTCTTACTTCTTAGTCATGAGAGTTTGTTTTAGTTATTCGAGGTCTTTTGTTGTTCCATATGAATCGCATCAATATTTTTTCTATTTCTTTGAAGAATGTCATTGAGACTTTTATTGGGGGGGTGGTGTTAAATCTGTATATTGCTTTTGGTAGGATGGCCATTTTGATGATGTTAATTCTCCCAATCCATGAGCAGGGCATGTCTTTCCATTTTATGGTGTCTTCCTGTATTTCTTTTAACAGTGTTTTGTAATTTTCTTTGTATAGGTCTTTTACCTCTTTTGTTAGGTTAATTCCCAGGTATTTGATTCTTTTTGTTTTAATTGAAAAGGGGATGGTTTTTGTTTTTTTCTGTTTCTTCTGATTGGTTGTTTGTGTATAGGAAGGTCTCTGATTTTTGTGTGTTGATTTTATATCCTGCTACCTTGCTAAACTGGTTGACAGTTTGATTCATTTCTCAGTGGAGTTTTTAGGGTTTTCCATGTAGATTAACAAATCATCCACAAATAAGGACAGTTTTACCTCTTCTTTCCCTATTTGGATTCCTTGTATGTCTTTTTCCTGTGTTACTGCTCTGGCTAGAACTTCCAATGTTATGTTGAAGAGCAGTGGCAATATTGGACACCCTTGTCTTGCTCCTGATCTCAGGGGAAAAGCTTTCAGCTTTTCTCCATTGAGGATGATATTGGCTGTGGGTTTGTCATCTATGGCTTTTATCATGTTGAGGTATGTTCCTTCTATTTTGAGGATTTCAAGGCCTTAAACATAAATGGGTGTTGAACTTTGTCAAATAACTTCTCCACATCTATTGATACGATTATGTGCTTGTAATTGGCCTACTTAGTTGTTTTATTTCTTCTTTATCTAGCTTTGGGTGGTTGTAGAGTTGTAGGAATTTGTCCATTTCTGCTAGATTGTCTAACTTGTTTGCATATATTTGCTCATAGTATTCTCTGATTATTCTTTTGATTTCTGCTGGATCTTTTGTGATTTCTCCTCTTTCTTTTATGATCTGTTTATTTGTGCTTTTTCTTGTTTTTTCTTTGTGAGCCTGGCTAGTGGCCTGTCTATCTTGTTTATTTTTTCGAAGAACCAACTTTTGGTTTCATTGATTTTTTTGGGCTGTTTTTCTAACATCCATTTCATTTATTTCTGATTTGACTTTTATTATTTCCTGTCTTCTACTGACTTTTGGGTTACTTTGTTGTTCTTTTTTCAGCTCTTTAAGGTGGGACATTAGGTTGTTTCTTTGAGTTATTTCTTGTTTCTTTATGTGAGCCTGAAATGCTATGTATTTCCCTCTTATAACTGCCTTTAATGTTTCCCGTAAGTTTTGGAAATTTGTGTTGTTGTTGTTCTTCTCTAGGTATTTTTTAATTTTTCCTTTGATCTCCTCCTTGATCCAGTGGTCCTCCAGTAGTGTCGGTTTCAGTCTCCATGTGGTAGGAGAGTTTTCTGTCTTCCTCCTGTGGTTTATTTCTAGTTTAATTCCTTCATGGTCAGAGAAAATAGCTGGTATGATTTCGATCTTAGTGTATCTCTTAATATTTATCTTGTGACCCAGTATGTGGTCAGTCCTAGCGAATGATCCATGTGGGTTTGAGAAGAATGTCTACTCACGTTTTTTGGGGGTGCAGTATAGATGTCTGTCAGACCCATGTTGTCCAGGTCCTTGTTCAGAGCTTTAGTACCTTTGCTTATTTTTTGTCTTATTGATCTGTCCATTGTGGAGAGTAGTGTGTTGAAGTCTCCTACTATGTATGTATTTTCTCTGATATATGTTTTCATAGATGACAGTAGTTTCCTGATATATTTTGGTGCTCCTTCATTTGGTGCTTGTATGTTGATGATTGTTATGTCTTCTTGTTGTATTGTCCCCCTAAGACTTTCTCGTTTTACGTCCAAATAATTGGTAAAATAAAAATTTCATTGAAATATTATTCAATGAAATATTTGTATATTTTAAGTAGAATTTAATCTTTAGTTAAATGTTATTTTATTTTTAAAATTTTCTACATACATATATGTTAGCAAAGATCTGTGTGTAAATTGTTTATTAACTGTGATATGACTTCTCATCCTATATATTCTATATACATACTTTTATTTTTAGGTATAACTCATTACTCCTAATGTAACTGTAGTACTGTAGCATTTGAAGACAGATTTTTGTTTCATTGGTACAGCTGTTGTTTAAAAATTGAAATTTATGTTTTCTAAATTTGTCACTATAAAAAAAATGACATTTCTTCACTCATTCCTGACTTTAAGTGAGGATAATGTAATTGAGTAAATAGAACTAATGTTGAATTATGAATTACAGTGTTTTTCTCTGAACATTTTTTTATTTTTGAGAATGGGAGTTTTAACATCAAATAATTAGTGAAATACTTGAGTAAGTAGTGATTATATAATTTTTTCAATTAATGATGATGTTGTTTTTTTTTTGTTTTGACATCAGAAATTTATTTTCTACATTAAAGTTGTTTCATTTTAAGATGAAATATTTATTTTTTCTTTTAACTTAATATTTTACAGGTTAGTCTAAATCAAGAAGATCTTAATCTTCTATTTAAAATACTAGCAGAAAATCTTGGTGAAGCTCCTGCAGACTTAAATAAAGTAAAACCAATAAAACAAACAACAGGTAAGGGACTGACAATAGGTGGAATTAGACATGTGTCTATTATAGTGGGGGAGAAACTAATAAAAATGAAGTAAACAAATATGTATGCATAAATGGTTATTTGTTATTATTAAGAAAACAAATAAGATGCTTTTGAATAAAGCCTTAGGTTGAAATGATTGCCTTTAAGCCAAAGTCAGTTATAGGATTAGACTTTTTTCCTAAATTACATAAGTTAGGAGGCCATAAAAACTGAAGGCTTTATGATATGAGTGTGTTAAACAATAGATCAAACCTAAGTTGGGGGGCAAAAAGTAGTTTAATTACTTGTGACAGTAGGGAGGCATGGAAATAGTTGTCCAAAGAATACTTTTCTTGGGTATAAGATTAGAAAGGAGAAAGAGCAAAACTAGAGCAAAGAAGTCTTAGGTAATTGGATGATAGAGTCCTGGGTAGCACTGGGCATCTGTGTAGGTGCTGAGGGTAGAACATGCTTCCACATATATACATCCTAAATTCTGGAAATGGCAGATCACCTTCTCCCTCAGTGGAGACTTTAATATGTTAATGAGACTGACAGCTACTTCAGATTATTCAGGGTGGAAACTCTGGCTGCCTGCTCAGTGGGCTACTCAAAATCCATTAGATGTGGTGGGAAATTAGTTAGCAAGGTAAGTGGGGATATTGCTTAAAGTAAATTAGTTAGGCATTTTAATCATTGACTAGGAATAAATCAAAACAATTGACTACCTGAACCAATTGCTTTTAGGTTGTCTGGTTCCTAATTTCATAACAGAATCAGTAGTGGTTTCCTGGAATAATTATTGAATTGCATGTATTAAAAAAATCATTTAAAATTGGCAGTAATTATGTTAGCATAATTGAGCTTCTTTTTAAATAAGATGTAGTATTGAAATATCTTTAAGAATAAAATGGTAGATAAATACTTGTCAACAAAACTATTGAAAACAATTATAGCACAATTAAAGAAAATTAAAATTATTAGGTTGTCCTTTTGATTTAAAAGCAAGCTAATTATTTTTAAAATCGTTTATATGTATGTATACAGATATGTATATAACCTTTATTTTTTTTCATCCAAATGGTATGTACCATCCTGTGTTTCTGTGTATTTGTGTATGTTTTTGCCCTTCACTTTTTTAAAAATTCGCAATGTAACTTGGTGTTCAATCCAGGGAGTCTTTAGTGAGTATAATTATCTCTTTGTATGAATTCCAGTTTACTATTTTAAAAAAGTCACCAGTGTTTTTTATTTCCTACATAAGAAATGTTTGCATATTCAAGGAATTATTTTGTAGGTGCAAAATTATTTGCACGGATTTTTTCCCTGCATCACACATTTGGAACATTGACAGTTTACAAACCTTGCTCTGTGCATTGCATTTGCGAAGGTAATAATTAATTGCAGGGGATTTTCATATGGGTTTCTAGTAGAGTATACACTATAGTTCCTGTGTGTTATTAGTAGTCATATGTTAACTGCAAAAATATTAATAACATGTGTTATTGATATTGTGATCTAGTGGAGAGTGAAGACTGTAAAGGCAGACTAATGAATCTGTACACTACCACTTGCCATCTGCATAACATTGAGCAAAGTACTACATCTGTATGTACCTTAGTTTGCTCATCTGAAATGAGGATAATACAATTATTTATTTCAAAGGATTGTTGTAAGAATTAAATGAGACAGTTATGTGCAGTCCTCAGCACAATATCTAGCACTAAAGTAAGCTAGTAGCAAGTTCTAACTATTACTCATTTTTTTGTATTACAGTTTAGAAAAAAATTTTATTGAATTTCAGGTTATGTGAATTTCAGGATGATAGCATCATATTATTTTGTTTTTTGGTATGAGAGCTTTAAACGCCCCCGTCTTTTTTTTCTTTTCTAAATTTTGTTCCACTCCTCATGTTTTAACTGTATCAAATTCCATTTTGTTTCTAAAACTTACCACAATGTGTTAATTCTTCTATAGTTTTTCATGACCATTTGTCTTTTTCCTGGGATGTCTCGTGGGGGCAGGTCCTTTAGCTCTACTTGAATGGTAGTTCTTCTATTAAGTCTTTCTTGATCTCTGAATAACAATCTCATTTTTAATATATGCCTTTTCTGTTAAACCATGATTTGCTTTCTAATGGCTGAAGATGTCACAAACTTAATATTTGTGACTTTTCAGTGCCTGCATCAGGTCCATCTATTCAAATACATCCTCAATGAATATTTGTGGAAGAAATGTATAAATAGAAGTGAATATATTTCTTTTAAACATCTTTAGGTGAAATTAAAATGCCACTGGAAGTCTCTACATCACAACAAGACATATTTAATTCACAAGGTGCTTTAATAGCTGGAGTGGAAGAAATTAGATCTGTGGATATTATTAATATCCTGCTGAATTTTGAAATCAAAGAGGTGTGTAATTTTCATCTTTTGTAAATGAAGTGAGCAAATAATGGGTATTTGGAGTTACTATATAACAATAAATTTATAGATTATTGATATGGTTTCTAAAAAAGATTATATAAACTGTTTACATCTAGCAGCAATGTAAACTTTGAGAGTTTATCTAAGATGGATTATACTGGTGTATTGGGGGTATATAGTATTCTATTGTACTATGGCCTGTTACATGCTTTTCAGATGATTGCAGGACAGATGGAATGAGACTTGCTTTGGATCTCATATAGGAGATAGGAAAGGAAACAATGATAGAGGAATCCTTTGTAAACTTAACACATTTTTTAACTCAAACAAGAAAATAATTACAAAATGTGTAAATGTTCTCATTAAAGTATGCCATAGGGTACAATTGGAGGCTGTGACAATAATGGTAGGGAATGGGCACTTATACAGTCTGAGAGGGTCAGGAAAGATTTCCTGGAGGAAGCAAAAGGGGCTGGGGCAGGTTGAAAAGAGAAACAGGTAAAGCAATATGAATCTGTGAGAAGGCTGATTTTGATACAGGGACTTACTTATTTGGAAGATCCCAAATCCCATTATCATTAAAGTCTTTGCATGAGGTTATTATGTTCTTCTGAGGTAAAAATGATAAACTTGTAAACAATCAGTTCTGTTTTTTCATCTGAAATACCTATTTTGAAACTAATATCTCTCATGGTAGTCATCTACTTTTTTTTCTGGTTAATATCAGAGTTATTGAAGATTTTTAAGTTTTGATAATTGAATGCTATTGTTGAATAATTTTTTTGCAAATGGTCTCATTAACATAGATACATGGAAAACTCTTAAGTCCTTTTCAGTGCCATCTGTCATGCATGTTATCGTAGTTCCCTTCCCTTGAACAGTTTTTGAGGTGAGGGAAGCAACTTACATATCTCCTCAGGTTTTCAAATGAAAACTTTAACCATGTTTTTGGTGATCATTTTCTGGTAAGAGGAATCTACTCATAAATAGTGGATTAAAGCCAGAGATGCTTTGACAATTCCTACAGTGCATAAGACTGCTCCCTACTACAGAGAGTGGTTACCTAGTCCAAAATACTAGTGGTGTCTAGTATTATAGAAGTTGAGCATTGATCTGAAAGACTTTCAGATGAAAGGATCCATCAGATTAGGACTTCTGGGGATTAGACAGAACCATTTTGTTTTGTTTTAATTTTTAAATTTTATCTTGAAAACTACTAGCATATAGTGTCTGTACTTCAAAAGTCTATAAACAAATATGTGTGCTTCCTAAAGTAAGTAACATTAGGTAATTTCCAGGAATAAACAGAACAGACATCTTTTTAGATTGTGAATATTTTTTTGGCTATACAGTGCCATATGATTATTAAATATTTAACATAACTATAAACTATAGTGAAATAGTTTGTAGTCATACTGGTATATTTTTCTAGGTTGTGATTACTTTGATGAAAAAAGCAGAAAAGAAAGTACAACCTTTACATGAATTAAATATCCTGCAGCTTGGAATGGAAGCTAGAGTTAAAACATATGACTTGACTGTTGAAGCTTACCTAAAAAAAATTAGCATGCGATGTTTTGAGTTCACTGGTAAGTACCATTATATAGTATGTGTAAATTAGCCATGTAATAGACATGTAATTCCTATCATTTTATCACCAGTAAGCATATTTGTTAGTGTCACGATTAGTAATTAGTTATTGAGTTGAAATTTACTACACTTTAAATTTATCTTTGGTAGTTATTTATCATAAAGTAAGAATATATTTAAATGTATTAATTAAGCACAAAATAGAATGCCATTGCAAAAGTAAGTAAAGCATATGCCATCAATGTGTATACATAAACCTTTAGTACTTGTAAAACATTCACATCATTTCATTAAAACTCTACCGTGAGAACTGATATATATTACACAATCTGGAGCCAAGTACAATGACCAGGTATAGAGTTCAGATGTGCTTTTTGAAAAGGTGAGTTAAATTACTAGGAAGTATGACATTTTGCTTTCTTAAATGTTTTTTTTTTTTTAATTTTTTTTTAAAGATTTATTTATTTGTGCATACAGAACTGGGGTACAGGCCAGAGGCTCAGGGGCGGTGAGAGGCTTCACCAGAGACAGAGTGGGGAACAGAACAGGCAGATGGACGAAGTACACTGCTGAGGGGAGCAGCGGGCGGGTCAGGAGAGGTCTGCCACGCCATGTGGTCACCTCCGGGGCAGGCAGGAATTGAACTCATGAGGAAGCGACTTTAGATTCTCAGTGCTGTGCTTTAACCCGCTGCGCAACCAGGGAGGGCCTTAAATGTTTATTTTTAAGTTACATCAGTGTTTTTACTCGTTATTAGTGCTATTAATACATACTTGTGAAAATAAAAATTTAACAGTACAAATATAGAAAGAGGAAAAATTCAACTTTATCTTGTGTAGTGCTTTAGTCACTTTCTCTCAAATAAATACTAAGGTATTGTTTAGTGAGTATGCTTGCCCTTTCAAATTAACTTTTAAAATTTCACCAAACCAACTTTTAAGGTTGCTATGGATGCTGAAAGTTTGTAGGAACTTCATGGGGTATTTTTAAGTAAATTTGTATTGAGAATAATCCCTAATTTAGATATTTTATAGCTTTGTTCTTTACTATTTTATATAATTTGTTCAAATAAGTAAGACCAAATGTTATAATAGCACAGTTGTTTTTGTCTTACGAAGTTTTTTTTCTACAGCAAATTTCGTTGAGATTTAATTTATATACAACAAAATTCATCTTTCTTATTGTGTAATTCTGTGAATTTTGACAAACATACATTTGTGTAAGTGATTAGTCTGTTTTAACACAAATGTTTAGGAGAATCATTGAAACAACCCTCTCTTTTTCTCTTTCAGATTCTAAAGGAGAGCCTCTTCACATTATTAACCCTTCTAATGTAACTGATGAACCCCTTCTGAAAATGTTATTGACAAAGGTATCTAGAATTCTTTAATTCTTGTATAGTTTTATAACTCCCCCATATTTAATATTTTGCCTTTGTTCCCTACAACTTTTTATTCTAAAACTAGTTAATTATAGTGAATTAGAATCTAATAATCCTGAATAATTTCAGTAACCTTTGAGTTACTCTATATTGTTGAATAAGTAGGAATATACAAAGTTCCACTGTAACTGGAAGCAATTTTGTGGTCCCCAAGATTTACTATCATTTCCCCCTGCTTTTAGCATTTCCTCCCTAGTAGGATAAAGAATTTGAGTTTTTGCATGATAAAATGTGCGAAATGCATGTGGCCAGTTTTTTCTTTAAACTTCTTTGCAGTTAAGAACTATGTTTATAGTGTGTTCATAGCATACTTTGAAAAGTAAAGAATATATGTATTTTCATAATATGAAGTTTAATTTCCTCTATTTGTAGGCAGACAGTGATGGACCAGAGTTTAAAACTATTCATGACAGCACCAAACAAAGATTGAAGGTAAATCTAATTTACAATAAGAATATGTTACATTAATGCTTACATCTAACTTCATAGCCACCTTCGCTTCTGAGATTGGCAGTTCTAAAATTAGAATGAGGGTGGAAATAATAGTGTATATGATCTTGTAGAGAAAAGAAATGGATATATAGATGAAATAAAATTTACAGAATGTTTGATTTCCTGATTGTTTCCCAGATTTAAATTAATGACTATATTAAATACATAATAATAAAGAGTTTCCCTTCAAATTTTGTTAGTCAGTTGTTTATGTAACTTATTTTTCAGAGTGCATTTTAACACTACTTTTTGTGTACATGCTTCCCTGACCCTCTCTCAAAACGCCTGTGCCAGTGTCCTACACTCTTCTGGATTATTTCATCTGGTATAGTCACCTGCAGATTCATCCATTTGTGTCCCAAAAGACACTGATTATTGTTATTTAATCACTAAGTTGTATTCCATTCAATATATAGTTCACAATTTATTTGTTGTCTTTGTGTTATTGTGTATTTAATTTGTTTTCACCACTTGGCTATTCTGAATAAGGCTGCTAGGAACACAGGAATGCATAAATCCTTTTGTGTTAGAGTTTTAACTATCTTTGGGTAAAGACTTAGCAGTAGTATCACTGCATCATAATATAGTTCCATATTTATTTTGTTCAGGTCTCTTCAATCTGCTTTCCATAGAAGCTGTAGAAAATTGCATTCCCACCAAAGTCATTGAGTTTCATATTTTTCTAATATGCTTTTTTAAAAGGATTTTGTTCACTTTGATTATTTGAGCTAGTGTTGATGGAAGTATTAAACATATGAATTACATGTTGGTTATAGGATTAGAATAAAATTAAGGACAAAGCTAAAACACATTTTAGTACAGACATTGCTTAGAGTCCTTTTGAGCATATATTACAGATGCTCTTGGAACCATATGAAATGTGACTGATTTAAGGCTTGGTAATAACTTATTATCTTTACTTAAAACCTAGCAAGTTCTGTTAGAATTATGGTTTGGTGTGGGGTTGAGCAGTATATTAGTTTATTATCTGGTAAGGATTAACATTGGAATATTCATTTGTTTCTTTAAGTTTATTTTAAAAGACCTTGAAATTGAACTATTGTTTTGTTACTTGTTTAAGTTGAAATTTAGCATGAAAATGTTACCATATCTGAAATTTGCCTTTCTAATTGTTCACTGTCTAGGTTTCATTTTCATCCTTAGACTTAGTACTTCATTTGGAAGCTTTATTATCCTTAATGGATATTTTATCATCCGTTGTTCCATCCTCTGAATCATCCTCTTCTGACAAGGAATCTGAGCTGAAATCAGCTGTGGGGGAGTCCAGAAGTGTCATCCAAGCTGGTATTAAATTTTGAGTCATGGCGCAGTATTTTCTATCTGAACTTTAATAACCAGATAATAACTTTAACATGCAAGTTAAGTATTTAGTCCCTTAAATAAGTTAACAGTTGGTCTGGCAGATTAGGTTTATTTCATAAGACAGCAGATTTTACCCCTGTGCTATTATAGAGTAATTTAGTGGGGGATTTTAAATAAATGTTTAGTATTAGTCATGTATTTATATTTGACTTTACTGCCTAACTTTTGCATGAAGTTATGTATACTTTGTATTGATCACTTTGCAATCTTCTTCCAGTGACAGTGAGAAAGGGAAAACATGAAAATATGAATACAGTCAGGCATAGTAACAAAGGCCCATCTCAGTCAGTCAACAATTTGAAACCCTTTGCAAGACACCCAAAGCGGAATCTCATGCAAGAGAGACTCACTTCAATTTCTAACCAACACTGTCTTTACATCAATCACTTACAGGTCTGGGTACATTTTCCTCAGACATGTGACTCGTACTATGAAATGTTAGTTGTAATTATCCTGAATTAACATGTGCCTTTTTTTTTTTTTAAGATTTGTTTATTTATGCACACTGGGGCATAGGCCAGAGGTGCAGGGGGTGGCGAGAGGACTCACCAGAGACACAGTGGAGAGCAGAACAGGCAGATCTATGAAGCACACTGCTTAGGGGAGCAGTGGGCGGGTCAGGAGAGATCTGCCACACCATGTGGGTCACCTCTGGGTGAGGATCGAACTCATGCTGAAGTGGTTTTAGCTTCTTAGTGTTGTGCTTTACCTGCTGTGCCACCAGGGAGGGCCCACATGTGCCTATTTTTAAACCAAATGTTTTAATTAGATTTTCTTCAGTATCATAGGATGTGTATTTTCTGACATCTAGTAATTTTATTTCTATACCTTTGTCTATATACTGGCATTTTTAAAATATAAAACTATCAGTTATATCTGATACAAGAATCAATCTTTTTTAAAATAGAAAGCAGAGAAATATTTTTGCTATCAACTAGAGTAAAAGGGTTTTACATTATTTTTCTTTAGTCCACTTGTAGTATTTATCTTGCAGAAATATTTCTTTGTATAATGATTATGTACAGTATACACACTCACAGCTGAATATGCGCAAAGTCAGTGTTTAAACTCATTATAAACTACAAAAATTATTAATCCAAAAAATAGTTTCCAGTTATGCTATATTGTTGGTTTTTTGGATTGATTTTATTTCTTTAAATACTAAGGGAGGAAGAGTTGCAGTTACATCTTGATTATTTAAAGATTGATAGACTCATGTGTTTTTGTTTTTGTTTTTATTTAATTATGGTAGTATACATAATAGATAATTTGCCATTTTAGCCACTTTTGAATGTATAATTTGGTGATATTAAACATATTAATTTTATTGTGCAACCATCACCACTATACAACAAATTTCACATGTACCTATATATTTATTATCATTATTAATTAGAGTCCCCATTCTATGCATTACATCCTTGTGATTATTTTATAATTGTTAATCTTCTATATCTTGAATCTTTTATCCAGTTTGCTCACTGCCCAATCCTTCTCCCATGTAGCAACCGATTTCTATCTATGTGTTTTGTTCATTTGTTTTTTAGATTCCACTATAACTGGAATCTATATGTTATTACACTTTGACTTGATGTCCCATGCTTTCACAGTATCTATAAAAAAAAATTCTTTTTCCTCAAGTCAAGATAAATTTCTAAGAAAATGTATCCTAAATTTTTCAACTAGGACTGGGGCAGCAGTAATTAAGGGACTCCATTTGATGTTGATTCTTAAGTGCATGCACATATATACAAACACTTTGTACAATATACTTTTTAATTTTAACCCTTTATGTTCTTTTATCTTAGGATGTATTCTAGGATTTTTCATGGAGTAAAAAGGATGTGATCTGGACAAATTGGTTCTATTGTTAGTAACACATTTGTGAGACAGCATATATTTTATTAGCTATTCATAACTATTAGCATATATTTTATTAGCTATTCATAACTACTAGTTTTTCATGTTTTTTTTTGATCTAATACATGATATGAAAAGGAGTTTGAAATAAAATTTTGACACTAATAGAAGTCTGCAATCCTAATACAGGGCGTTTTCTTTTTCCCAGAAGAAAAATTATGTAAAATTTCTACCTCTCAAATGGTACTTTTAAGCTACTATTAACGATTGCCTTTAATTTGGTGGATTCATACTAGTTTTTATCTGACTGGCATTTGAAAAGTTACTCAAAAATCCTGATTAGTTACATTTGTAAACTCAGTAGAGGCCTTTTTGGTTCTGTATAGTTCCTGATGTACTTTTATTCTAGTGAGTTTGAGATATTTTATTTGATGTCATCTTTGCACTTTGCTACTCACAAGGCTTCTATTACTTTTCAGTATCCAGCAATAAATCGCAAGATGATCTATTTGATTTAAAGATCACAGCTGAATTAAATGCATTTAATATCTTTATCTGTGATCAGAAGTGTAGCATTGCAGATATTAAGATACATGGTAAGTATTATTCCTTGGTGTAAGTATTTCTGTTCTTTATGTAAACTTCTGCGAAGAATGAGGTTATGCATGGTAAATTTCTCATGGGTCATGTTTTAGTTTACTTGTACAAACTTTTCAAAGGTATGTTTTAAAATGTTAGAAGAAAATTATGACTCATGACTGATATGAGACATTGCTGTGTTCAAAAAATGTCAATATATATGTGTCTAAAACTTAATTATTGTTGTCTTTTCAGAATAATATAATTTTATTTCAAATTGAGAAATGAATATCATGATAGCATCTCACTGAGGAGAGAAAATGGCATTATCCTTATTTCCCTTGTCTTTTATATATATATAGTATCAGAAGAAATTTCTAAAATAAATTCTGTAAGCTTTATCAATCATCCGGTTGATATAAGGAATATGGTATAATGGTTCAGCATATACTGGGTTTTAGAACCAGGCTGGCTACATAACATTTTAGCTATTATACTTAGTGACTCACCATGAGCAAGTTAATTAACCTTCTATAAAAGAGAAGATGTTAGAATTTTACTCATAGTGTTGTTTTAAGGATTAAGTTACACATTTACATATATTTAGGAAAGTGCTTGGTACATAATTAGCAGTTTAAAAAGGTAAAAATGTCACTTCCATTCAGCAAATATTACTAAATACTTATTTTATGGAATGGTTTGAACTCATTTCTGAGATCAGTCATAGCAACTTCTGAAATCATTATACGTATAGAATTTCTGATAATGACAAAGATTTTTAGATATAAATCATAGATGGTGAGATTTCAGGCATAACTGAACTGTAGAAAGAGACTTATTCATCAAATTATATTCATTTATGCTTAGATACCAAAGCAGTTGTTTTTGTAATACAACAAATGTGAGCTGACTTTAACGAACATTGTGTCTTCCTAAATAATAGCTTTTTAATTTTGCCAATGCAAAATAGGATATTTATATCTAGATACCTATGATTAATTTTCTTTGAAATTCGGTTTCCTTTTTTTTTTTTTTTAAGATTTATTTATTTATGCATACAGAACTGGGGTACAGGCCAGAGGTGTAGGGGTGGTGAGAGGCTTCACCAGAGACAAAGTGGGGAGCAGAACAGGCTTACTGACAAAGTACATTGCTGAGGGGTGCAGTGGGCCAGTCAGGAGAGGTCTGCCACAACATGTGGATCACCTCCTGGGTGCGGATCAAACTCATACTGACATGGCTTCAGCTTCTTAGTACTGTGCTTTAACCCGCTGCGCCACCAGGGAGGACCCTACACTTTTATGTATAAGATGCCTGTAGCACTTGAAGATACTATAAAGTTTACTAAGTATCTCATTACATAATACCTTTAGTATCTCTTATAGTGAATAATTTCTGTTTGCTTCATGCCTTAGTAGTATAGAATTGAACATAAATACCACTGAATTGGTTCACTTGAATTTTATGGTTTCCTGTTTCCCACAGGAATGGATGTCTCTATTTCTGTAAAGCCAAAACAGACCGATGTGTTTGCCAGACTTAAGGATATCATAGTTAACAATGTTGACTTGTGTTCCATCCATAAAAAGGTAATTTAAAAATAGCTTCTACATTGAAATTTATTTTAATTCTTTGGGTTTGGCATACCTTTATTCAGTTATTCAGCATTTCTTATGTGCTATGTGTTTAACACTTTTGTAGGCACTGGGCACCGATATGGTGATAGTCTATTTTCAGATTGTTTATAGGCTAGCTGATGTCTATTTCTGACCAATTAAGTGATTGATATTTCCATTGATAAAATGATTTTTATAGAAATAATAAAAAGTTACTGTGAAGTAAAATGCTTTTATTTTGTTCTAGGTTGTATATAAATAGTGCTTCTTATTTTTAACATGGTGATATGGACTGTATAGCTCTTTTGGTTTAATTATTGGTTAATTTAATACTTTTAGGCTGTCTCTATTTTGGGAGATGAAGTCTTTAGGTTCCAAATGACTCTTTATCCAGGTGCCACAGAAGGAAAAGCCTATATGGATATATCTAAAGTAGATGGCAAACTTAGTCTCAAAGTGGGTTGTATTCAAATTGTTTATGTTCACAAATTCTTCATGTCTCTTCTGGTAAGTTTACTTTTTAAATATTTGTTTCTCACTGAGGTCTGTCTTTGTTTGTAATGCATTTGAACCTAGATAGTAAAAAATAAGGCTATCTAGTAAATATCCTAATACTACAGGCAATACTACATTAAAGGAAACCCTTTACATGATGAATAACCAAATGAACTTTTGTTTTCATTGTGTTGAACATATAAACTAAAATTCTTTAACATTTCCATAGTTCTCTGTTCTTAGAATATACCTTGATTTAAATTTAAACTTTTCATTGGTGATTGTTTTATGAAATATCCCTAAGAATTATTTTAAGAGCCCCTTTGAGGGGCAAATACTGGATTAATACAGTATGCACATTGAGAATACTGCTTCCAAGAATGATCTTCATTTGGAAAAAAATTTCTTTTTTTAATTGGAATGGAGAAATTTAACTTCCTAATCATAATACGACTGTAGATATTTAATTTCTTTGCTTGAGCACACTTAAGTACACATTGAGATATCAACTGGCAAAACATTAGTTTCTAAAAATGAACTTTATTCCTATGACTTAGAGATACAGAGTTAAACCTAATTTGAGGAAGGTAAATTCATTTATATTTGACTTTGCAAATATCATAAAAGCGATATTTTAAAAAAAGAATTACCATAATTTTTCATAAAAGCCAAGTCATTCTTAAAGAGGTAACACAAAAGTTAAAGTTACTTTTCCTTCCTAGAGGTAACTATTATTAATATTCTAAAATGTGTTTTTCTAGGCATTAATTTTTCCATATACGTAGTCATAAATGACATTGCTCTCATATAATGTCTCTTATTTAGTCTTTAAAGTAAAGCTTTTAAAAGTTTTGCCTTTCAAAAATAAATCCTGGTGGTTGTTTTGGAACTCTCTAAATATCAGTCTCTTCCAACAGAACTTCCTCAATAATTTCCAGACTGCTAAAGAAGCTTTGAGTGCAGCCACTGTCCAGGCTGCAGAAAGAGCTGCTTCAAGCATGAAAGACTTGGCTCAAAAGAGTTTCCGCCTCTTGATGGATATCAATTTGAAAGCACCAGTTATTATCATACCTCAGTCTTCAGTATCACCTAATGCTGTTATAGCAGATTTGGGCTTAATCAGAGTTGAGAACAGATTTAGCTTAGTTTCTATGGAACATTACTCTCTTCCTCCAGTCATTGACAAAATGAATATCCAACTTACTCAGTTGAAACTGTCCAGGTATAAATATATAATCTAATTATGGATTACTGATTAGAAATAGAAATTTTATAGCATGTTTGCTGAGAGTGAAATGCACTAGTGATTTGTATTTTTCATTCATGTAATTATGAAGCATTGACTATTGGTTTTGGTTAGTGGTTAATAGTAGGGCACCTCATAGAAATTGTGTTTCAGCTTAACCAAATTTATAATGTGATTTTTTTAACTGTAAAAAAAGGCCTATTATAAACAATAATACTTAGTTTAGATTTATTTATTTTACTTTGTACACAGCTATTTTTTTAAAGATGGGAAACAATTTCCAAAAATATAATAAATTTAAAATTTGTATTTCCATCTCCAAACATTAGCATATTTGGATATTTTCAGTGAACTATATTAAGGATTGTTAAAGTGTTGGCCACATTAAGTGTCATGAATAGTTATTTGGGTGTACAACTTTTGATGACAAGTAAGCTAGAACTATTACCATGTGTTTGTTTAACTTCTAGGAGTTGCCTTCTGAATTAGAAAAAGTACCAGTAACAAAAAACTAAGTGTACTTTGTCCTCCAGTTTTTGGTTAATAAAACATTTTTATGACCTTTGTACTGCCTGCTAGCATTAAACAGTCTTTGTGAAAGATAGTAACTGCAAAATTATGCTCTGTGAAACTTGTGTCACTGAAACAGCATTTTCCTCTGTGGAAATTGGTGCAAATTATGAAAGTCTTCATTTTTAAATTTAATTTTCAAAATATTTTAAAAATATAAAATGAATCCTTACTTATCTTTCAGAACTATTTTGCAGACTAGCTTGCCACAGCAAGACATTGAAATTTTAAAACCAGTAAACATGCTTTTGTCCATACAACGAAATTTGGCAGCAGCGTGGTATGTACAAATTCCAGCGATGGAGATCAAAGGAAAACTAAAACCTATGCAAGTAAGTGTTCATCTAAAATATATGTACGTTGCTTTTATAATGCAATTCTAGTGTACATCAGAAGTGATGACACATTAAGAAAATATGTTTTGTTATCTGAAATGAGGCCATTTGAGTTTCACACTTTATTTCACATTTGTCAGATAGTTGATAAAACTAATAACACATAAGAAAATTATTCATAAATTTGAATATTTTATTAAGGTTTAAAGGCAGTTAAATTGTAAGCAGTATAAAGTAGCATTAGATACCACATTCAAAATACCTTAATAATATTTTTAATATGTAGAAAACTCATTTAATTAAAAAAGTGAATATGGTTTTAAGTAAGTGAATATGTTTATTTAGTAGGCATATAAATCTAGTACTATATTGTTTTTTTTTAAGATTTATTTAGGTATAGATAGGCCAGAGGTACCAGGGATGTCAGGGGTGATGTGAAAGGATTCACCAGGGATAGAGTGGGGAGCAGAACAAGTGGACTAACTGAAATACACTGCTGAAAGGAGCAGTAGGTGAGACAGGAGAGGCTTGCAGTGCCATGTGAATCAACCCTTGGCTGGGATCGAACTCATGTTTCAGTAGCTGGCAAGAGCTTCATAGTGCTGAGACTTAACCCCTTGTGCCACCACAGAGGCTCAGTACTGCACTATTTTAAATAGTATAGTTAGTAGGTCATTTGTAGGCTCACAAGAAGAGATGAGAATAGTTGAAGATGGTTCTGGGAGTATAGAAATCCTGATTTATGTGTGGCTATGTGTGAAACTGCTGAAGCTAACAGGGGATAGGGTAGGGGAGTGATTAAATAGTATGTAAGAAACAAAATTTAGAAGTTCAGTTTTTTTGATATCTTTGATTATTATAGAAGTTGTTCCAAGATAAAACAATAAAGCTCAAAGAAGCAGAAGAAGGGAAGAAATTAAAATTAAAGTTCATTGTAGGTGCCTGTGTGTATGTATGAATGGCTCACTTATATGAAAAAGAGTGTTTGTGACATTCTTGTAGACTTTCTTCCAAAGTCATGGACTTTAAATCTTCCTTTGTTTTTAACAGATTGGATTGCAGGATTACTATTTGATCCATTTTCCTTTCTTTTAGAGATTGTATGATTATAGGTTGCTGAAAGCAAAATTAAAACCTAAATCTTTCATTAATAGGCAAATGTGGCCCAAATTATAGTATACTTAGATTATAGACATTATAGACCAGATAAAGAAAGTGAACCAGAACTATTGAAATGAAATGGGTATATCTTAAACAAGCAAAAAAAAAAAAAAAAGTTGCAAAATTATTATGCAGTTGTCTATTTCAAATTTATAATAGGTAAGACTGAACAATAGTGAAAAATAAAGAAAACATTCATAGGAGGAATAGTTCTCTAATTCTTTGGGGGTGGAAAGGAGAAGGGAATGGGGACTCAGAGAAGTAAACTTAAGGTTTCAACCTTATCTATATTGGGGAAAAAATGATCTGTAGGAAATATAGCAAGTTGTAAGATGTAGCTAGATGGTTGGTGCACTGGGGGAGGATTATTATATTCTTTAAGCTTTTTATTTAGGCTTGAATTATTTGAAAAGAAACACGCAATAAAAAAGGACCCAAAATTTAGCATCAAAGTATAATCATCACTTTTACTAAAAATTCCCTGTTCAAGTCAGGCATTTATCCATCCATCCTTGGTAGTCTCTGTTGCCTCATTTGTCTGTGATCTAGCTTTCTAGGCTCTAGAGCTCTCATGTGTCTGTGTCTGGAGTGAAGCTATGAAAGGATTATCAAGGAGATGGTATTAGGTGATCTCTCAAAATTATCCTTTAGACTGACTAAGGACCAGTTTAAGTATGAGATGTAGTTGCTTATTTTACCAGCAGAAAAACAAAAGTGGTAGTGAAGTTAGTTGCATCTCTTGGTTCTGATATTTTGCTTGCTATCACAAATGTGAATGAACACACAGGAAGTTCTAGGAAGTTAAACTGGTATCAGTATTCTGAGGAATGGGATTTGAAACAAACAGGAAATTGCTGTCATTACCTCATGCTAAACGATATCTATCTTTTCATTTAGCCTAGGAGTTAGGGAATTTCTTGGTAATAGGAGTGTAATATGGGGAATGAGAGGTATTGTGATTTTTTTAGGAGAAGGTGCTGTAAATTTGTGTTGAATTACTTAAAACAGACATTTTCAACCACTGTAATGTATAGTGAAAATGTACAAAAGAATGATGAAAAGGTTCAGTGACTCTTTGCTGCCAGTAGCTCCCTTTGTTTTAGGTTCTTCATTGTCTAGCTACTTACGAAGATGATATTATTCCTATTCAAAGTATTAAGAAACTTGAGTTAAGGAGGCTAAAAATTTGTCCAACATATCTTAAAATTAGAATTGACCCAGCAGATCTTCCTGACTCAAAAGATATTGCTTGTTTTTTGGCCACACATCCCCTTTTGTATATGTAGGTGATAAACAAGATCCTTCCTTCCTGGTATATGCTAAATTGCAGGAGAGCATCTTTATTTACTTCTTGGCTGTTCAAAAAATTGAACAGCTCCTCTTCCTGTATTGAGTTTGGAACAGAGCAAATAATGTGGAGGAAGGGGCTGTTATTGGGTGAGAAGAAAGAGAGGCAGAATGGAGATGAAAAAAATAGGGAAAGGGAAGAGAGTCAGGAATAGAGCAAGATAGGCACAGGGATAGTACAAGGTAGGTGGGCACAAACAGGGAGAGTGATGGAATACCAGATGTCAAGGCTTGGATCTAGGTGGCAGGACTGCATTTACACACAGGAAAGTCTCACAATGTACAAGATGAAGTTCTTCTGGTATTTACAGTCCTAGCTCTCTGTTGTAGTAGATGAATAATTACTTAATTTGAGGAACACCTAACTGAGACATAGACATGATATTCTGTGCTTTGTATTAATAACAATTTGTTGTTGTTTGCTAGGTTGCAATCTGTGAAGATGACTTAACAGTTTTAATGAAAATTTTGCTCGAAAATCTAGGCGAGGCTTCTTCTCAATCAAGCCCTGTACAATCTACTCAGGATGCTATAAGAGTAAGAAAAGATGTTCTGATGACTAGATCTGATCACCTCAAAGGTAAAATTGATAACATTTTTTTTTTTTTTTTGCTGTGATGGCTGGAAAAATTACTTTTAATATCATCTTTATGATTAGTGAGTTTTTTTTTTTTAAGTTGTGCAGCAGTATAATGTAATATGAGCAGATTTTGTACTTTGTCACTGTGGAAAGTATGTTGGGACTGCAACTTAAAACTCCAGCAAAGGGCATAAACTCACTGTCTGTTCTAAGGAGGGACTGCCTGTTAATGTTAACATCTGAAAGCTGAATATGTTGAATTCATGAGGCATTTAGGTAGTATCCCTTGAGTAAAAAAGCAAGGTAGGCATATAAAGTAGTAAGGTCCCAGAATAATTGAGAGAAAAGGACCTTGATGGCATCTGAGAAACTGGTCTCTAAGAAAGGAAGGTAGTCTTAAAGGAAGGTAGTTTTTTTTTTTTTTTTTTCTTTTAGGAAGGTATTTCTATATGGTAACAATTTGACATCTCTGGTTTTATTGGAGAATGATGTAGTCATATCTGTAAGGGAGTTTTCCAAATTATGAAAACAGAATTTTAAAAAAGCATTGAACTTCTTAAATTCAGCCATGTTTGAAAGGCATTTTTTTCCCTAAAATATAAGGCTCCTTTTTGCTTTCTTAAATTCATGTAAAGTATAACTTCACTCTATTTTCATTGATTAAGTCATTGATGTGAATTATCATTGTGTTTTAAGACTGTTAATAGGGTATTTTATCCCTGGCTCAAAAGAGATAAGTGCTACTTGCCCCTTACAATAGATGACCCCAGATTGGTATACTTTTATAACCTTCAAATTATCAGCTGTTAATTCTGACAGCATTTGGAAGAACTGCTACTTAATAATGCCATACTCTTTATCCTACAATTAGATCACATATGTTTAGAATACATACTGATAACTAGAGCAATGTTCAGAATAAAGTTTCTGTTTCACATGCATAATATGCATAATATGCATGCTGCTCCATGTGCTTAGTAAGGGCAGTATCTATTCCCTATGTTGAGTACATGCCAGCCTAGACACAAATACTAGGAAAGTAGACATGGGAACTATGTATAGATGAATAAACTATAGCGGCAAGTTTTATGTGGTTAATGATCTCATGTTCAGGATAGTCAAGTCATGTTTCTGAGTCTAACTATATGGTTAATATAGTACTTGAGAAAACTTGTAAATTCATATGAAAGCTGTGAAGATGATGAAGAATAGAAGTGTAAATTATTTTTAGGAAAGGTGAAGAAAAAATCCCAGAGTTCTTCAAATTGGAGAAGCCTTTATGCGGTTAATAGCCTTTCCAGTCACTTGTAAGAATACTATCTCCTCTAAATGACCAGTCTTCAACAGAGATTATAGAATTATTTTGTAAGAGTGGTTGAAATTAGTATCTATTCTTATCTGTCTATATAAAATTTCTGCTTAAAAATAAGGGAAAAGACAATTACTTCTGTCTCATTCATCTAAAAATCTCAGTCACCTCAAAATCTCAGACTTCTGCCCCCATTATATTTGAACTCTGTTTGACTCTGCTAATGAATTACATTCTATTTTTGTAAAGGTAGTGAGTTATGTGATGCAGTTATTAGAGAAAGTTGGAAGAACCCTTGGCTAATGGATGATCTGTTACTGACTAGCTGTGTATTTTGGGGCATTTTACTTTTCTGTATCTCTTTACAATTATATAACCAATTTGATGAAATGCTTTGATAATTGTAAGCTTGTCTGTGATGTTAGCCATTCCCTGTTTTTGTTTTTGTTTTTTTTTTGTATATTCTGCAAGTTCACCCTGATTTTTTTTTTTTTTAAGATTTATTTTTTTATACTTACAGAACTGGGGTACAGGCCGGAGGTGTGGTGGGTGAGAAGATTCACCAGAGACAGAGTGGGGGACAGAACAGGCAGATGTACTGAAATACACTGCTGAGGGGAATAGCGGGCAGGTCAGAAGAGGTCTGCCATGCCTTATGAGTTAGCTCCCTGGCAGGGGACAGAACTCTGATGCCGTGGCTTTGGAGAGCTTCATAATGCAGAGCTTTAACCCGTTGCACCACCAGGGAGATCTCTCACCCCTACCTTTTAATGTAGACTGCCTCTACATTTAGCCTTGTGCGAAATGTACATGGAATAAATAATTTTCAATTTCATGTAATATAATTTAATTATTCCTAGAAAGTATGATATAAATTTAGAATAATAAATTCTACCAATTTTAAAGATATTTATGAAGTCATATCTATTTAACACTCTTTAATTTTCATTTTTATATGTGAACTATCAGAACAAGATTTGACAGACTCAAAAATTTCTGTGGACCAGAATGTCTCTCTCCAATTTGACTTTCACTTCGAATCTCTTTCCATTATCCTTTACAACAATGTTATCACTCAGGTATGTAGTAAATTTCTTTAGTTACAAACAATTCCTAGTTCGTGATATTCAGTTTTAGAATATTGATATATTTTATGTAACCATTTATCTAAAAATAAATGTCTATTAAATTATATTTGGCTTATAGAATATATATTAGTCTTGCTCTCTGTCTTTATTTTATTAGTCTTTGTAACCTTACTGTAGTTTAGGATTTAATACCTTGATATATTACTTCTATTTTTATTTCCAGCCTCATTCCCTACCATTCTTTAATTGAAATATTTAAACCTAAGCAATCAAATACTTTTACCTTCAGAGAGACTTGAATTGTTAACTTGTGCTTTTCTCCATCCAGATTGTCTTCTACCTGCCTCCTCTTATCCTATCAAGTTAAGAATTTGTATGCAAGCCACAAATTCTTAACTTCCATCAGTTTTTACCAGTCCACAGTGATTGTTGATCCTTTGATTTTTTTCCTACTTAGATTCTTTACCAAATCATGTACTATTATAATTCTTTGGGGATAATGAGAGGATACAAGTGAATGAATAGGAATAAATAAATGACTATATGTCATTTTTTGATCATTTGCAACTTATAGCATTACCTTGTACAATTCTTTGTAATTTCTCTTTTATTAAATGTAATGTCATGTAATTTCTCTTTTATTTTCTACATTAGGGTAAAACCTTACTGAGGTCACCTACTATGCCTTATCTTTATAAACATCATAGTTTCTATCACTGTTTTATGCAGAATAATTCATTAAATAGATAAGTTAATTGAAAAAAATGTTTATTTGCTTTGAACCATAATGAGCTGTTTTTTATATATTAATGTTGAATATGGCACACATAAAAGTATTTGTGTGTATACTGTCACAACATGTATTTTCCTTCTGTTCCATTTGTATTGTTTTTTTTCCTAAAGATTTATTTATTTATACATACAGTACTGGGGTACAGGCCAGAGGTGCTGGGTGGTGAGAGGATTCACCAGAGACAGAGTGGGGAGCAGAACAGGATGATTGACGAAGTACACTGCTGAGGGGAACAATGGGCGGATCAGGAGAGGTCTGCCATGCCATGTGGGTCACCTCCAGGGTGGGGATCAAACTAGCACTGAAGTGGCTGCAGCCAGCTTACAGTGGTGTGTCCTAACCCACTGCACCACCAGGGAGAGCCTCCATTTGTGTTTTAACAATTCATACTTTCAAAATTTGTGAGATCAATTTGCCTTTAACATATGAATTAAGATAGATATTTAAAATTAATTACATAATGTTTAGAGATAATTGATTCTTTTACTTGGGTGCCACAGGAATCCAAACTTTCATTTCATAATGACAATTTCCGACTTGGTGAACTTAGACTACATCTTATGTCTTCCACGGGAAAGATGTTTAAGGATGGCTCAATGAATGTCAGCATTAAACTTAAGACATGTACCCTTGATGATCTCAGAGAAGGTATTGAGAGAGCAACATCAAGGTTTGTCATCTCTGAATTTGTTGTACATTACTTAACATTGACAGTGCACCTGCTACTGCTGCTGGGCACTGCTGATACTGACCTATTTCCTATTCAGATTAAGAACTGAAAGATAGCAGAAAGATTATTAAAATGTATAAGAGATGTTCATATTTTTAGTTATTTTGGTAGGATTAAAATATGATTATATATTTTTCAGAATGATTGACAAGAAGGATCATCAAGAAAGCAACAATTCTATGATTGATATAAGTTACAAACAAGACAACAGTGGAAGTCATGTTGATGCCGTACTTGACAAGCTATATGTATGTGCCAGTGTGGAATTTCTGATGACTGTGGCAGATTTCTTTGTCAAAGCTCTGCCTCAAAGTCCTGAAAATACCACAAAGGAAGCACAGATTCCACTACGACAGACTGCCACAGCAAAAAGCAAGATAGAGAAAGGTTGGCAGAATTTACCTGTTACAGATGACAAGCTGCTATGTATTTTAGCAAAAATTACAAACAAACAAAAATGACAAATGAAGAATTTAAGAAGATAAAATTATTTAAAATGAAAATACTTTCTATAGAAAAGCTTTAGTTAAATGTACCTTTTCAAGAGAAAGAAAGAATAGATATATACTTTATTAGGTACCAGGAAATCTCTTGTCTGGTTCCATCTCTGCCATTAATGTTTCTTTACTTATCCAGAAAGAATGGGAGTTAATTTGGATTTCCAATTTTATAGAAAAACAATCTTTTATTTTAAATAAAATATTTGGAAGAAATCTAGCATATTGAAGAACAGTGAGAGCTTGATGTAATCAGCTTAAAATCCTTGGACATAAACTTAGGCACCTAAAATTCTGTAGAGTTGTTTTTTTTTAAAGATTTATTTTATTTATTCATACAGAACTGGGGTACAGACCAGAGATGTGGAGGGTGAGAGGATTCACCAGGGACAGAGTGGGGAGCAGAACAGGCAGATTGACGAAGTACACTGCTGAGGGGAGCAGCAGGCAGGTCAGGAGAGGTCTGCCACGCCATGTGGATCTCCTCCGGGGCAGGTGGGAATCGAACTCATGCAGAAGTGGCCCAAGCCTCCTACTGCAGTGCTTTAACCCACTGCGCCACCAGGGAGGGCCTCAAAGTAAACAATTTAATGTTTAATTTTTATCAGTGTTTTTTTTTTTTTAATTTTACAGCAGTTTATTTTTACATCATTTTGTACATTTTTTTTTTCCATCTCAATTGTAATCCCTGTGGGTTTCCCATCACCAAGTCACCCGTGTGCCATCACCATAATCCCGTTATCAATGTTTCTTTTGCTATTTTCCTATATTCCTCTCCATGCCCATCCAACGTATCATAGTACATACTCATGTGTATATACTAATGTGTATATTAAAGTATATTTATACTTTAATTCTGATACAAATAACTTTAGACAAAATTATCCCTGGTAGGAATAAACCTTTAAGACAGGGATCAAATTGCATTATCTTGTACAATCAGCATCTACTAATAATATCTGTCATTAATATTAGTCAATTACTAACATTAATTTTACCATTTCTATTAGAATTGGATATTAGAAACAACTTAGAGATTTTTAGATATGTGTACTCAGGTGACAAGATTTAGTTTACAACTTTTTTGGTTCCTATTTTTGTTTCTTCAGATGACTCAGTAAGGCCGAATATGACCTTAAAAGCCAAAATCACAGATCCAGAAGTGGTGTTTGTTGCTAATCTGACAAAGGCTGATGCTCCTGCTCTGACAGCCTCATGCGAGTGTAACCTCTCTCTGTCAACATCCAAACTTGAACAGATGATGGAAGCTTCTGTGAGAGACCTTAAAGTACTTGCTTGTCCTTTTCTCCGAGAAAAGAGAAGAAAAAACATTACTACAGTAAGAATTACCTTATATTCTTAGTTTGGATTGAAGAATGTCAGGAATGGTTGATTCATAGAATTCTAGAATTTGAAAACTCTGTAGGACTCTAGAGATTATTTATTATTTACAAACTTGAGAATTTACAGATAAGAATGTTGAGTTCCAAAGACTTTAAATAATTTAACCATGACTGCTAGTGACTGACTATTTGGGAACTAGCTCCAGACTGATTTCTTTACATACTATCACCTTCTGTTGAACAGTGTTTGAATTTTAATGCAAATTATCATTTGTTTTAAGGTGATTTTTTTTGTTATTCACCAGTGGGTATGTCCACTGAGTAAGTGAATATTAAATCTTTGTTAAAAACTCAATATTCCAGTTGTTTTTTTCATATTATTGTTGAAAAATGTGGTTTTTAATAAATTACCACATAAGTTTTTAAAATGGTATATTGATAATTTTATATTAAAGAGGATTATTATATAACTCATTTGCAGTATTATTTTAAAATTAAAATATTTGTGAGCCAAGTGACTTTTATAAAGAAATGCTGTGCTAGGTTTAGTCTATATGATCATAAAACATTCTTTGTAAGATATTTTTTTTGGGGTTATATCATAGAAAGCTTGTATTAATTACTCCTCTAAAAGTTATTTAAAGTTTTTAAATGTCAGTTACCCACTACAAATTCTGTAGCTTTGGCATAAAGTTTTTTCTTTTAACTAAGAATATTGGTAAGAATATTGGTTTCATAATTTTAGTAATTATTTAGTAATTTGTTTGACTATTTGAAATTTTTTCTAATAATTACCTTGTATGATACTCAATACTGATCCATTGTTATTCATTTTTAAACTCATTTAACACCTTTCCACAATCTTTAGTTCATTTTTATAGAAATCTTAAAAATATTTATGTATTTTAAGATACATTTAAATGTATTTTTGTAAAAGGAAGCATTTTAAACTTCTAATAGTAACTGTGCATTTTTACTTAAGAATTTGACATAAAGGAATCAATCATAGTTTCTCAACATCTTTAAAAATATTCACTGACTTGTGTTCAAAGAAGCCCTGACAAGAGATTCTCAGTGAGGTTAACTTGCCATTTTACTTTTAGTAATAGATTTTGTAGTTAAAGATACCAATTTAAGAAGAAATGCTCTTGTATGTATTGCATAAATACTAAGGAAATAACTGAGTAAATGTGCCTTCTCCTGTTTCTAGGTCTTACAGCCCTGCTCTTTATTTATGGAAAAATGTACCTGGGCTTCAGGGAAACAGAATATAAATATTAAGGTCGAAGAATTTATAATTAAGGTAAGGACCTCTCATCTTATTCGGGTGAAAATTAACTATTAATTTTCAAATAATATTGTATACTCATGTGAGAGTATTTTTAGACTCCTCATATCTATAGCATTCTGTAGTTGAGTATTCATTAATTAATAAATATCTCTGACATCAAAATATGTATTTTTAATGCAAATTCTTTTTATTTAAAGGAGTACTTACAGCTATTTATCAATGATCAAAATAGGTTTTCTCAATTACACTGGTGTGTTGAATGTAGAGAGGAGAGCAGTAATGGGGTGGGAAGAGAAGTGAAGAAAGGGTAGAAGAATGAGGTTGCTGGTTTTTGTTGCATGTCAGGCTTTTATTTGAAAAATAAATTTGAATTTAATAATTGATTAAATTTTTTATTTAACTTACAATGCTATTTGTAATATATTTTACTAGAAGTGAATTATTAGGATTTAACTCTTTAAAATTTCTTTTGTTTGAAATACTGAAAGAAATGTTTGTTCTCCAGAGGCATTCAGATTCCTTAAATATTAGTTTGCTATCAGGTACAAATGGAAGATATAGATTACTCACCAAAATCTGTTTCTCTAAAGGACACAACAATGAGGTGGTTAGTGCTAATATTAATAATAACTTTATCTATATAGGTAAATTAACAATAGTGATTAGATTCAGTCTCAAACTAATGTCGTTTACATTACTATGTAAATAATAATGTAGTTTTTTTCCCAGTGTTTAAATATACTAGATAGTCTCAGGTTGTATTTTAACAGAATTAAAGTTTTATTTTTAGAAATTAAAAGTGAGGAAAATTCCTTGAACTTGCATGTACTTTTTCAGACAGAGGGTTTGGTTCCCCCTCCCTGCCCTATCTTTTGTACATCAATTTATTTATTCAACATTTAAAAAGATCTGTTACCACATATGAAAACAGTCCTATAGAAGGCTTTGGCAGTACATAATCCCTGCCTTCAGCAGAGACTATGACAGAAGTAAAGATAATTTATATGACAGAAGTAAATCATTGCGTTTAGCCTTCAATGCTCAATGCTAGAGGCATCTACAAAGACAGCGTACCTTTAAATCACACCATATCATCAACCATCTGGAAACGAGGTTCCTGAACTGAGTTTTTACAATCTGAAATATGTTAGATGGAGAAGGAGGAGAAGGAGGAGTAGAGCTCTGTAGATAGAACCAGTAGTATGCACAAAGACAGAGATGTGAAAATTCCTTTTAGGACTTAGAGCAGTGGTTCTCTGACTGACTGAAGGGTCTGGCAGAGATGTAGGATTAATAGCACTCATTATAAGTATCATTAATAAGGCAAGAGAAAAACAGATTCAGTTGCCAGGAAGATTTAGGAAGAAATATATATTAAATCCTTTCCTCTTTTTTTTTTTTTTTATTATATTAAGTAAAGGCTTTGAAAAAGAACAGTAAAGGAATTCATTTCATTTATTTAATATGGTATTAATTAAATTTTGGAAAACCCTGCTTGTTAATTGATTAGGTATAAAATCAAAGAGAGCTTTGTGTCTCAAGCTAAACAAAGTTTGAGTTTTGTCCTGAAAATTGTGAGAAATTGAAGATTGAAGCAAAGGAATGACACGCTTAGGTCACATTTTAGAAAAAGCAGTCCACTGGTAGTTTGAGGGTTGGTTTAGAGTATGCTGGCAGGGCATAGAGGATATCATCCCGTCACACTGTGGCCTACTGAGAAGAGACAGAGTTGACAAATATGTGAAAGCCAAGTAGAAGTATTTTTTTTTTAAGATTTATTTATTTATGGATACAGAGCTGGGATACAGGCCAGTGGTGCAAGGGCAGTGAGAGGCTTCACCAAAGACAGAGTGGGGAGGAGAACAGGCCGACTGATGAAATACACTGCTGAGGGGAGCAGTGGGTAGGTCAGGAGAGGTCTGTCAGGCTATGTGGGTCACCTCTGGGGCAGGGATCGAACTCATGCTAAAGTGGCTTTAGCTTCTTAGTGCTGAGCTTTAACCCACTGTGTCACCAAGGAGGCCTGCCAAGTAGAAGTATTTTAACAAGATCACACACTTTGGTTTGGCTCATTGTAGCTGGAGAAAAATGAAAAATTTAGTTGTAAAGTTGCATTTTTCTGTTCACACAATACTCTTTACTCTTTACTGATCAGTTCAGATTTAAGGTCTTGATAATTGACATTTAAGATAAAATACTTAATTCCAGAGTAATCTGAACTACAAATCAATGTTTTGAGGTTACTTGACTTGACATGACTATATGTGTTTTCTTTAGTTAGAAGTTTAATATATTTAAATTTTTAATTAGTTTCTTTTATTCATTATATAAATTCTTTTTATCTGGGCAAGAATTTATTCTAAAAATTTTCTTCTTTTCTTTTCAAAGATTTCACCCATAATTCTTAATACTGTGATGACAATTATGGCTGCTATGTCTCCAAAAACAAAAGAAGATGAATCCAAACATGCATTTAAGGAAATGGAAAGTCTTTGGGGTATCAAATCTATTAGTGATTTTAACTCTTGGTTTCTTGGTGTTGACACGGCAACAGAAGTAACAGAGAATTTCAAAGATATTCAACATACATTGATAGAGGAAAATTGTGCTGTTACGGTGGAATCAGTTCAAGTAACCTTAGAGTGTGGCCTTGGACATCGAACTGTGCCTTTATTATTGGCAGAGTCTAAGATTTCGGGAAATATCAAAAATTGGACTTCCCTAATGACTGCTGCTGCTGACATGACACTAGAGGTATGACATCATTTAGTGCCTTCAGAACTGACTTCTCAAAAGTACAATTGCAGATTTAAGATATGAACTTCTGTTATTTGTGTAAGATAAAACACACTAACATTTAACTTATTTGATACATATCAATAATATTTATTTAGTCACTACTTTTTAAAGATGCTTTTGCTAAGTAATTTGTTTGTGGCAATAAAGTAAGAAAAATATATATTCTTTTTATGTATTCCTATGTCTTTAGGTTTTTTTTTTAATAGCTATTGACAAAATAATATTTCTTCTTATTGGTTATAGAACTATGTGGCCTAGTGAGAGGAGGGAGAGTTGAGCAAAGATATGAAAGCCAAATACAAATATTTTAATGAGGCCACACACTTTGGTTTGGTTCATTATAGCTGGAAGAAAATAAAAAATTTAATAAAGTTGTCTCATAATTTTGTGCCTTTCCAGGTTCACTATTATAATGAGATCCATGCTGTTTGGGAGCCACTGATAGAGAGAGTGGCAGGAAAGAGACAATGGAATTTAAGACTGCATGTAAGTAAAACAAAGTATCTTTGTAGAAGCACAGTAAACATGTTTTTTTGTTTGTTTGTTTTTTGATTCTAAAGATGTGGTGCATGATCCTTGAAGTGGTCCATCAGTTCAAAATACTTCATAATAGTAGACATTATAGCATTTTAATTTTACTTCTTTCATAAAAAATATAATAGAATTTTCCAACATTGCATAAAACTAGAAACAAATGAATATAGAAGCAGAAATAAAAATCTGTCTTTTCTTAAAGCATGCACTAAAGAGATTTATACATATCTTCTATATTTTAATAACTTTTTGTTAAGTATAATTTGTTAACATGTAGTTCTTATATTTTAAATGAATTAACATTTTATCATTTTTAGTTACTATTGGAGTATATGTTGATAGATATAATACATGAAACTCTTTGGAATCCTTAGTGATTTTAAAAGTGAGACCAAAAGATTTGAGAACTATTATTCTGGTTTATGACTTCTTTTGTTTGATCTTTTTAATGGTACTTCTTAAGAATACTTGACAGTCCTAGATACTAAAGCACATTTTTCTAGATTAACAGAAACATGAGTTATGCACCCTTAAATTATGATAGCATCCCTTTGGGACAATGTAACTAAAGTGCAGGGCTCTGAATTTGCAGATTCTTACTTTAAAGGAAAGAAGTCACTTAGTCTCTATTCTAGTTTCTTTTGCATTAAGCAGATGTAATATTTCTGATATACATCTTTGTTTTACAAGACTTTTGAAATACTCTTAGAATAAAAACTGATGACTGAGAGCTTTTATTATTTATAAGTGTTACTGGTAAAAAAAGAAACTTGTTTCCAGATGTTACTTCCAGTAAGGATTAATGTACCCTTCAGGGTTATCTTTGATTGCTCATCAACACATAATGACCCATTAGTCAGGCAACAGTGGGTAAATTGCTTGTTCTGGGGAATGCACAAAAGACAAATATTGTCACTGGTTTTGAGTGCATTCATGACACAATTCTAAACATTTTCCCATGCATTGACTACACACTGAAAAAAAGAATGCTGATGTGTGCTAAATCAAAGTAAAGAACTGAATATTTTAAAATATATATATATATATATTTACATTGTTTATTTATTTTTGTTTATTTATTTTTGTACAATGTTTGCTTTCATTCCTCAGGTGTGATCCCCATAAAATTACCACCACCACATCATCATAGTCTCTTGTACTCTCCCCTCCCGTTTTGACCCCTTCCCATCTTCTTCCCTGCTGTGTGTCTCGGATGTATAGTTTATCTGATGTATTTGTCCTCTTTTTCCTTACCCCTTTTTGGTTTCCCTCTATTTTTCCTATTTGTCCTTTTTTTCCTTACCCCTTTTTGGTTTCCCTCTATTTTTCCTATAAGTGAAACTATCCAGTATTTTTCTTTTTCCATCTGATTTATTTCACTAAGCATGATCCTTTCCAATTTGCTGCAAATGGCATGAGTTTATCTTTTTGATTGCTGAATAGTATTCCATTGTGTGAATATGCCACATTTCTTGATCCATTCATCTGTTATTGGACATTTAGGTTGATTCCATATCTTAGCTATTATAAATAGTGCCACAGTAAACATAGAGGTGCAAATATCCTTTTGAATTAATTGTTTTTGGGTAAATTCTTAGGGATGGAATGTGGAATCATAGCTTCATTTTAGTAATTTGAGGGTCCTCCTCACAGCTCTCCACAGTGGTTGGACCATGACCATTTTGCACACCTACCAGCAGTGTAAGAGGGTTCCTTTTTCTCTACTTCCTCTTCAGCATTTGTGGTTGCCATTTTTTATAAAAGATTTATTTATGCATACAGAACTGGGGTTTAGGCCAAAGGTACAGGGGCAGTGAGAGAATTCACCAGAGACAGAGTGGGGAACCGAACAGGCAGATTGACAAAGTACACTGCTGAGGGGAGCATCCAGCTAGACAGGAGAGGTCTGTGGCTCCATGTTTATTACTTCCAGGGCTGGGGATTGAACTCACACTGAGGTGACCCCAGCCAGCTTTGCAGTGGTGAATTCTAACCTGCTGTGCCACTTCTTTTCTTTTTTTTTTTTTTTTTAAATATGGGCCATTCTCTCTGGTGTGAGGTGGTATCTCATTGTAGTTTTGATTTTCATGTTCCTGATTACAAATGATGTTAAACATTTTTTCATATCCCTGTTGGCCATTGCATTTCCTTTTTGGAGGAGTCTCTTTTTTGCTCTTTTGTCCATTTTTCAGTGGTGTTTTTAAGCTCTGTGTATTTTGAAAATGAGACTCTTAAGAAACCTTAATGTAAAGTGATTGCTGTAAGAGAATTTAATTCTATGTGGAGTATTTTGATTTTATTATTAATTGGCTGATAAATTTGTTATTTACCCTCATAGGTAAAGAAGAATCCAGTCCAGGAAAAAGGCTTGATGCCTGGGGATGATTTTATTTTTCTTCCTGAGCCGCAAACAGCAATTCATATTTCTTCAGGAGATACAATGAATATAACGATATCCAAAAGTTGTCTTAGTGTTTTCAACAACTTAGCAAAAGTATGCTTGGCACTTATTTGGATGATTTCAAATAGAATTTTAAATTGAAATATATTTAATTTATTGTGATCAAAACAGTTTTCTTTAAAGTATGTAGTCATAGTTTAATTTTTGAAAGAATGCATTTGTAAATATTTTATTGCAATGTTGTGTTCCTTTTCAGGGTTTTTCAGAGGGCACTGCTTCTACTTTTGATTACTCTTTAAAAGACAGAGCTCCTTTTACAGTGAAAAATGCTGTAGGTGTACCTATTAAGGTGCAGCCCAATCATAATCTCAGAGTAATGGGTTTTCCTGAGAAAAGTGAAATTTATGATGTTGATGCTGGCAAGAATTTGGAATTGGACTATGCTAGCATGGAACCGTCACATCATGGGAAACGATCTATACTGAGCCGTCAAGAAAGCTCCTTCTTCACCTTGACTTTTGGTATGCTGTACTTATTTTTTTTAAAGATTTATTTATTTATGCATATAGAACTGGGGTTACAGGGGTGGTGAGAGGATTCACCAGAGACAGATTGGGGAGCAGAACAGGCTTACTGACAAAGTACATTGCTGAGGGAAGCAGTGGGCCAGTCAGGAAAGGTCTGCTGCGCCACGTGGATCACCTCCTGGGTGGGGATCGAACTCATGCTGAAGTGGCTTTAGCTTCTTAGTTTTTTAGTGCTATGCTTTAATCTGCTGCACCACCAGGGAGAGTCCCCTATACTTTTTTTTTTTACATTTAAAAAAATTTTATTATATTAGCTTATTTTTACATATTTTTGTGCATTTTTCCATCTCAATTGCAATCCCTTTGGATTTCCCATCACCAAATCACCCATTTGCCATCACCATAGTCCACAGCATTTCCCTCCCCACACTGTTTTGATCTCATACCCCACTCCACCCCCATAAAATGTCTCTAGTATATAGCTGTTTGTCATTATCATTATTTTCTTGCCTGTTTCATTATATTCCTGCTATGAGAGAAAACATCTGGTATTTTTCCTTTTCTTTCTGGCTTATTTCACTAGGCATCCCCTATACTTATTTTAAGGGAACTTTGGAGTCATAGGTATGGTCTTAATTTTTTGTAAAGTATGAAAATTATTTTGCTACAGGCATCTCACGGTGTGACATTTCTAAAGCTAAACTCTTATCTCTTGTTTACTTTTAAACTTGAGAAAATTTTACTTGATTAACAAGCATTTTAGAAAACTTGATTATTTCTACCACCTTATATAATACAATATGTAGAATGCTTCAAACAGATGGGAGTTCAATGAAGAGAGGAGATAATTATATTCAGAATTCCTAAAATATTGACAGTAACTATTACCATTACAAAGAAAGGAGATTATTGCTTTGTCATTGAGAAAATAGGAAGCAAGTTGTATTTTGTCTGTCTATTTTAATGTATTTAAAACCTCAAGACAAATTGGAGTTAAAATTTTTAGTAAGTAACTGATTTTCTTTCTTTGTTAGTTCCTGTGTCTTAGAATAACACTTTGTAGTCACAAAATGAGGAAAAATTTTGTCATTATTTAGAGTTACTAAGAATTATTCTGTCATAGAAAAAACATAAATAAATTAATATATGGATGCTTCTCACCTGTGGTCTGCCTAGTACCTCATGGATATACAGAAGTTGCAAAAATCCCTGTTTCCAGGCCTGGACGGCGATTATACAATGTACGGAATCCCAATGCCAATCATTCTGATTCAGTGTTGGTACAGATTGATGCAACTGAAGGGAATAAAGTGATTACCCTTCGCTCTCCTCTGCAGGTAATTCATTCAGTGAATTGTGTTCCTTTGAGTATATCAAGAGTTACTAAATCATTTAACTGAAGATAGGAATAGAATAAAACTCCACTAGGCCAATACTGTTTATTCAGAAATAAATATTAGATTTATGTGGTTGACATTCCATATCTAACTTGCTTTTGTAGCACTGTAAGTATCTGTAAAACAATCGTGTTAATTTAAAGCATATTTATGATGTCTCCTGAGTAAAATTAATGCACCTTTCGTCTGTTCCTTTAATGATTCAGAATTAAGAAATACTGAATTACAATTAGTCGTCAAATAGGGTAGCATTCCACTCTCTTTGTACATCACTTGGGAATATATTTTCAAGTATATGTTAAGGAATATTGAAATGCTCCCTCTCAGAAAAATATTTTAATATTTCAATCTGCATAATTGTTTTATTTTCTTCTTTTAAGGCTTTATCCATAATCTTTCTCTGTGCCTTATTAAAGGCTTCAGCTTATGATCAGCATTATTATTTCTTACTGTATATCTGATAAAAATGAAAATACTTAATTTTTTTGTAATTGTTATTTCTTCACTTGGTACTAGCTCTTGCATATATCACATTGTAGTTAAGAAAAGAGTCATAGTACTCTGCATACTTACTTTGCTATTATTTTGTATTATCATCACATGGTGCATTGAATAATGGTTATAATGAAAAACTAGTATGCCTGAAATCTGCGATTAATGGATAATTGAAAGGTGATATTATATACAAATATTAAATGTCATCAAGTTATATATAGAATTTGTGATTATTCAAATAATTTCTATTGCTTCTTAAGCATTAAATTTAAACATGCATGTAGCACTTATATATCCTAAAAGTTTTTGATATAAAAATATCCTTCAATGTTAAGCTTGAAGCTTTGTATATCCAAAAGTAATTGTAACTCACAGGTTTTTTTGAACTTTTATTAATCTTATTTTAACAACTCATGTGTTTTCTTTATCCAACAGATTAAAAACCATTTTTCTATTGCATTTATCATTTATAAATATGTTAAAAATGTTAAGCTGTTGGAGCGCATTGGGGTTGCCAGACCTGAAGAAGAGTTCCATGTTCCTTTAGACTCATATAGGTAGATACTTCTTTGAATTCATAATATGTATTTTTAATTCTTTGAACTGATGGATATATTTTAGAAAAATTTATCTCATGTTTTTTTTATTTTCTGAAATGTAGTTTTAGAGAAATGCATTTTATGTTCATTGAATGTACCAGATATGTATTTCTTGTACCTTTGACAGTTCAAAAATTTTCTGAGACTTTTTTTTAAGATTCCTTTGTTTATTTGTAATGAGGATTTTTTTTTAAAGATGTTATTAACTGAGTGTTTTTTCTGAAAATTCCACCATGAATTAGCTATGTGATTTAGGTTAAGTTTCTTAACCTTCCTTATCCTTGGCTCCTCATCTATACAAATAGGAAGAACAATACTTGCCTTTTAAAATTATCAAGAAAACTTGGAAAGTTCTTTGTCTTAAGTTCTCAATCAGGACCTTTTTTCACTAATCTGTTTTCTTTTTGTAGATGTCAATTGTTTATTCAGCCAGCTGGTATATTAGAGAATCACTACAAAGAATCCACCACTTACATTTCCTGGAGGGAAGAACTTCACAGGAGCACAGAAGTCAGGTGTATGCTGCAGTGTCCATCAGTAGAAGTCAGCTTCTTACCTCTCATAGTGAATACAGTTGCTCTGCCTGATGAATTGAGCTACATATGTACACATGGGGAAGATTGGGACCCAGCTTACATTATTCATCTTTATCCTCCCCTCACCTTGAGGAATCTCCTTCCATATTCTCTAAGATACTTACTTGAGGTATGTCTCTTACATATTATTTGATATGAAGTGTTGCACGGTGAATTCACATTTTTTCTTTTTAGTGTTTTTTTGTTGAGGTCGATGTTTTTCACAGCATCTCTGAAATACTTTATGATAATAATAATAACATCAACAAAAGCTGTTACATTGCCTGTTAGATGCCTCTCATATATAACGTACTTTACATATGACATAGCTAGTCCTTACAGTAGTCTTTCTGAAGTAAGTACTATTATTAGACCCATCTTACAGATGAAGAAACAGTGTTACAGAGGGATATGGACAGACCCAAATGGTAGGGCCAGAAAATAGACCTAAGCATCAAACTCTGCCATCAGATTCTATGCAACCGCCATAAGATGTGAACCATAATAATCTCTTTATTAATAAAGTAAAATTATTATAAGTAAAATAAAGGAAAAAGATAGTGAGAAAATAACCTATCATAATTTATTCTAAGGTTAATAATAAGCTAATAATATTAGATTATCAAGTTTTAATCTAATATTAAAGTTAACATAATTATTTGGTCCAACTTTGCACTGAACGTAAAGATACTACTTTCTGTCTTAAGAAACAATAGAGAAAATTTTCTAACAGTGAAGTATGATAAATATTTTGAAATTCTTCCTTGCCACAACATTTTAAAATATGAATCTGGAAGGTGTTCAGAACTGAAATTATCTTGTCTGACAGTGACCCATAGCTCACTTTTTTTTTTCTTTTTCTTTTTAGCCCTTAGTTATTATTGGTACTCCTACTAAATAAAAATATCTTCACTAAGGACTTGGTAGTTCATCTGAATATGGTTAGATTATCAATTGCATAAAATGTGAACATTGCTGTTGCAGAGGTTTTTAAAAATTTGTTAAGCAAATTTAATTTTTGTCTGTTTTTAGGGAACAGCAGAAATTCATGAGCTAGCAGAAGGGAGTACTGCCGATGTTTTACATTCAAGAATCAGTGGAGAAATAATGGAATTAGTCCTGGTGAAATATCAGGGCAGAAACTGGAATGGACATTTCCGTATATGTGATACTCTTCCCGAATTCTTTCTTGTGTGTTTCACTTCTGACTCTACAGAAATAATGACACTGGATTTGTCAATCCATGTGAGGCGAGTTGGCAGTCAGATGGTGCTCTCAGTTTTTAGTCCTTATTGGCTCATCAACAAGACTTCTCGGGTTCTTCAGTATCGTTCAGAAGATACTCATGTGAAACACCCAGCAGATTTAAGGGATATTATTTTATTTTCTTTCAAGAAGAAGAACATTTTTAGTAAAAATAAGGTATGTTTTTATTGATGAAAAAAATAGATACATCCCTAACCTGGAAACAGGAATCATTAGCCTCCATAAAATCTTGCTTACTTACTATTAAGTCCTGTTGTGAATTAGGTCAAAAGAGACTTTAAAGGACTACATAATCAACTGGGATATCAGGAATTAACAAAAACCATTTATTGAAGCTGAGTTTCCCTTTTTTTCAGTAGTCCTAGAATTTAACTTGATTTTGTGTAGTTTACTAGTGACAAAATAACATTTCAAAAGACACAACAGTTGAATTTCACTTACACGAACTGAGTCCTCCTATCTTAGGGCCTTTGAAAGCCAACTTTGAAAGAAAAACTTTTTGCCTAATCGCTGGTCCTTTATGCCTAGGTCCCTTCTTTTCAGACTCAAGTTGATATTGCTTAGCATATATTCCCCCAAGTGCTCAAGTGCTGAGGACCTCTGTATATACAACACCCTTTGCCTAAAAAGCCTCTTCTCTGCACTCTTTTCCTGTCTGTTTTATCTTTTTTGATAATCTGTTGTTCCTCTTTTGGCATTCCACTCAGACCTGACGTGTGTGTAGGATTGTCTAACTGTCTAAGGAAAGGCTAAGTAGCTTAGTTATTCTTTTAAAGCAGTGGTTCTCAAATTACAGCAGACTTGAAAATATTCTTAGGTTTTAATAAACAGTCTGGGTTTTCTCCCCATTGGTCTGATTCAAAATGTTTGGGTAGGGTTAGAGAACTGTCATTTTTAAAGGATTCCTAGGTAATGCTGATGGTACTGTTCTGGGAACCATGTCTTGAGAATCATTGTCTCACAGTATTGATTATTGATTAATACATGGTATTGTAACTGCCTGTTAATGTGTATAATCTCTGGTTATTCTCATAATTTTTATAATCTACTTGTGTAGATGCAGATTAATGCAAGAATATAAAAGGGTTCTTCTGTAACCCTTTATCTCTATCTCATAGCAAAAAATGTTTTACCATCTCACCTTAGTAACATTTAGTACCTCTGTGTGGCTCTTATACATTGTCTTGAATCATAATTATTAGTGTTTTTCCTGTTACTCTATCTCTTTGAAAGCTTACTGATAATAGGAACTGTCCTATTATCTTCCATTATGCTTATCAGAATGCCTTTCACTTAGCACTTATGGAATACTATACATACTTTTTATGTAGAAAAAGTTTTATACATTAAAACTTTTGGATTTGTTAGCTTTATATCAAGTCTAGCACTAAAAACTATAATTTTATATCATGATTCTTTAAGCACAACAGAGTATCTCATTGATTAACATCTTTAAATTTACCATACTCGTGGCATACATAAATGTAAAAGTCAGAACTCTGCTTTTACTGTATTGGAAACTCCAGTTTTCAGTGCTTCTGCTATCCTTTTGCAATTTGGTGTTCATTGTTCTTCTTATTCCATGATGTTAAATAAATTTCTGGTGGTCTAGCAACTTTTCACTAGGTAAGTTAATGTAGTCTTCTAGGTTTTTTATATGATGGCATGTGTTCTCTTCTATAGGTACAATTGAAAATTTCAACAAGTGCCTGGTCCAATAGTTTTTCGTTGGATACAGTGGGAAGTTACGGGTGTGTGAAGTGTCCTGCCAACAATATGGAATACCTAGTAAGATTCTTCTTCTTTATTTATCTTTTACTGCATTCACTACATTTGGAGTAAACCAGCTCACTCCAAAAGACGCAGAAATTTGAATCCAAAGTGAAGGCCTATTATTTACACGTTTCTGTGACTACAAGTATGAAAGTAAAACCTGAAATTTATCTAAGTTTAAGACAGTGAGTTTAGTTCATCCAAGTAAGGCACTTGGTAAATATTCAGAACTACTAGAGTACTCGTTCTATACTGCTTCCTCCTAAACATTTCTTAAAACTTAAATTTGACTGTTAAAATTTAAACACTCTGTTGTCAGTTTTCAGATTTTATATATGCTTTGAAGTTTTTGTCTTCTTTTTTATTTTTTTAAAGATTTATTTATTTTGTTTATGCATACAGAGCTGGGGTCCAGGCCAGAGGTGCAGGGGTGGTAAGAGGATTCACCAGAGACAGAGTGGGGAGCAGAACAGGCTGACTGAGAAGTACACTGCTGAGGGGAGGGAGCAGTGGGTGGTCAGGAGAGGTCTGCCTTGCTATGTGGGTCACCTCTGGGGTGGGGATCAAACTCATGCTGAAGTGGCTTTAGCTTCTTAGTGCTGTGCTTTAACCTGCTGCGCCACCAAGGAGGGCCCCTGAATTTTTTAAGTTTTTCTTAATATCAGACATAGTAAAATGGCAAAACTTGAGTTTCTGTGTTTATTAAAAATAATTTATATTTGAAATGTTAAAAAGAATAAAGAATACAAATAAATATTATTTTAAGTCATCATTCGTTAAATTGCTGAATGACATTTCTTAAAGTGATTTCTGGTGGAGCCATATTAAAGTACCAAAATTTTTCTATGTTGTTTGTAGATTTTCAGTATTTTTAGAAGTATATTCTAAATATATAAATATATAAGTGTATATTTAATTTTCAGTATATTTACATTTAGATCTTCAGAAAAATTATATTTGATATAATAATTAAAGGAATCTGACTTTATATTGTAAGAAAACTGTGTGTGAATGTTGTATATGCGTATATTTTAAATGTATATTTATATAAAAGAAATTGTAAAATAACAGGAATGACAAACTTGTTTGTTTGCTTTCCATAGGTTGGTGTAAGCATCAAAATGAGCAGCTTTAATCTTACACGAATAGTTACTCTGACACCTTTTTGCACCATTGTGAACAAGTCATCATTAGAACTTGAAGTTGGTGAAATTTCATCTGATGGCTCAATGCCAACAAATAAGTGGAACTATATTGCTTCTTCAGAGGTAAAAATTTCCTCTAACTGGCTCCTAAAAGTACAGTAAATATAGATATATAACTAAGTACTGTATTACCTTTGATATATTGTTATCATATTTGTGTTTTAAAATGTGACAGCCAGCTCTCAAAGATATTTTTTTTACCCATAAGTATATATGTGTATGTATGTGTGTGTGCATTCAATGAATAATACAATAGTTTATTTTTACATCTTTTTGTGCATTTTTCCATCCAGTTGTAATCCCCTTGGGCTTCCCATCACCAAATCACCCATGTGCCATCACCATAGTCCAGTGCACATCCCTCCCCCCACTGTTTTTGATCCCATTCCCCACTCCACCCCCATAAAATGTCTCTGGTATATAGCTGTTCATTATTATTATTATTATTATCTTGTCTGGTCTGTTATACTCCTGCTATTAGTGAAACCATCCAGTATTTTTTCTTTTTTTTCTGGCTTATTTCACTAAGCATGATCTTTTCCAGCTCCATCCATGTTGCTGCAAAAGACATGCGTTTATTTTTTTTTTTGGTTGCTGAGTAATATTCCATTGTGTATATGTACCACATCTTTTTAATTCAGTCATCCACTTTTGGGCATTGGGGCTGTTTCCATGTCTTTCCAATTGTGAATAAGGCAGCAGTAAACATGGGGGTACAAGTATCTTTTTCAATCAGTGTTTTTGTGTCTTTTGGGTAGATACCTAGGAGTGGGATTGCTATGTCATCGGGAAGCTCCATGTTTAGCAGTTTGAGGAACCTCCAAACAGTTTTCCATAGTGGTTGTACTAGTTTTCATTCCCACCAGCTATGCAGCAGAGTTCCTTTTTCTCCATTTCCTCGCCAACATTTGTTGTTGCTAGATGTTTGAAGATGTGCCATTCTCACTGGTGTGTGGTGGTATCTCATTGTTGTTTTAATTTGCATCTCCCTTATTGCGAGTAATGTTGAACATTTTTTCAAATGCTTGTTGGCCATCTGCATTTCCTCTTTGGAGAAGTGTCCTTTTAGCTCTTCTGCCCATTTCTTGATGGGGTTGTTTACTTTATTTTTGTTGAGTTTCATCAGTTCTCTGTATATTTTTGTGATTAGTCCTTTATTGCTAGTTTTGTGTGAGAAAATTTTTTCCCAATCAGTGGAATGTCTGTTTTTTGTAATGTCTCTTTTGTTATACAGAAACTTTTTAACTTGTTGTAGTCTCATCTATTTTCCTTGCTTTCACTATCATTGCATTGGGTGCTGTATCTTTAAAGATGTTGCTGAAGTCTATGTCATGTAGTGTTTGGCCCATCTTTGCTTCCAGGTATTTTATGGTTTGTGTCCTTATGTCTAGGTCTTTAATCCACTTCAAGTTGATTTTTGTGTTTTGTAAGAGGTAGTGATCTAGTTTCATTTTTTTGCATGTAGTTTCCCAGCACCATTTGATTAACAAACTTTCTTTGTTCCATTGTATCTTCTTTGCTCCTTTGTCAAAGAGTAGCTGCCCATAAACCTGTGGGTTTATATCTGGGTTTTCTATCTGAATCCACTGGTCTGTATGTCTGTTCTTGTTCCGGTACCATGCAGTTTTGATTAGTATGGCTGTGTAGTATAGCTTGAAGTTTGGGATTGTAATGCCTCCATTCTCTTTCTTCCTATTCATGAGATTTTGGCTACTCTAGGTTGTTGTTCCATATGAATCTTATCAATATTTTTTCTATTTCTTTGAAGAATGTCTTTGAGACTTTTATTGGGATGGTGTTAAGTCTGTATATTGCTTTTTGTAGGATGGCCATTTTGATGATGTTAATTCTTCTGATCCATGAGCAAGGGATGTCTTTCCATTTCATGGTGTCTTCTTGTATTTCTTTTAACAGTGTTTTGCAATTTTCTTTGTATAGGTTTTTTACCTCTTTTGTTTGGTTGATTCCTGGGTCTTTGATTCTTTGTTTTTAATTGAAAACAGGAATTTTTTTTTATTTCTGCTTCTTCTGATTGGTTGTTTGTATATAAGAAGTTCTCTGACTTTTGTGTGTTGATTTTATATCTTGCTACCTTGCTAAACTGGTTGACAGTTTTGATTAATTTCTCTGTGGAGTTTATAGGGTTTTCCATGTAAATTAACATATCATCTGCAAATAAGGACAGTTTTACTTCTTCTTTCCCTACTTGGATTCTTTGTATATCTTTTTCTTGTCTTATTGCTCTGGCTAGAACTTCTAATGTTATGTTGAAGACTAGTGGTGATAGTGGACCTTGTCTTGTGCCTGATCTCAAAGGAAAGGCTTTCAGCTTTTCAGGATAATATTGGTTATGAATTTGTCATATAGGGCTTTTATCATGTTGAGATATGTTCCTTCTATTCCAAGAATTTCAAGGGCCTTAAACATAAATGGGTGTTGAACTTTGTCAAATGCCATCTATTGATATGATTATGTGGTTTTTATTCTTTTGTCTGTTGATATGATGGATTACATTAATTGATTTTCTGATGTTGAACCATTCTTGTGCTCCTGGGATAAAGCTTAAGCATATATTTAATAAAGGACATTGTTGTTATTTATCCTAACTAGTCTAGAAAATTAACACCCAGTTTCTGTTTCTTTCTATATGAATATATCATAGTTATATAACATGAAATGTGTATAAAGATAATGTACTATATATTGTTTAAATACTAGTCAAGATAATATCTCTTCAAGCATAATCTTTTTGGAGGTCTTTAAGAGTTGTTGGGTGGCTTTAAGAGTCATGCAATTTAACACAGAGAAATAAAGTTAGTATATGCTTAGTTAAGGTAGATTTAGAATTTATGAATAGATGAGCTGGAAATTTCCTTGAAGGTTTCCTAAAATCCATCCCTCCCCCCCTTTATGGAGAAGTAAATTGAATCTCATATTTCTCACAGGTCATTAAAATTATTAGAAGTTGAGGTCATTGTGATCTATATCAAATTGGACAGTTTCATAGAAGAAGAAGAAGAATTTGAACTTTCTAAGTTCATTTAAATTTGAGAAAGTGAAGGGAATGGGAAAGGAAAATTGCAAAGATAAGCTTGAATTTACCTAAGTTTCCACCAGACTGCATGGTCTTGAGTATAAAACCATCATTCTGTATGTCTTATAAAGTTCTACAATTCTTTAAAAAAATGCTTAACAAAAAAGCTTAATTGGAAGGATTCAAGTCGTAACACAAACAAATTGAGAATTCTGAGAAGCATGGACTTCATGGACTTGGCAGCAAATAAGTGCTAATTATCTTTAACTTCGATGTGGGTTTCATACTATAGTATTTTATTCAGAAATAGAATTTATCAGTTATTCTTTAACAAAAGGCCATTTTGGGTTACAATATGAATTAAAACCTCAGTTTTATAGATAAGAAAAGTGAGACTCAAAGAGTTGTGTGCTTTAAGATAAAACAGCTAGTAAGATATTATCAGAATTTCCAGCAAAGTCTGTGACCGTCTTTCCTTGCCTTCAGTTGTCATTCTTGCTTATCTCACATAAGATTCACTCTCAGAGAATCATAGTGCATCAAGAAATTAAAATGGGATATGACAGAAACAAATGTTAGTAAGAGTATAGTTTTTAAATACTCTAAATATTTGAGGTAGTCTTAATAGGATTCTTAGTTTCTTTTACTCTATTCTGTAAGCACATAAGCCTATCTAAAAGGTTCTCCAAAAATGTTTTCTGTGATTTCAAAAATAATCATTATGTTGCTAATAATTTTAATATGAAATGTGAAGGTAATTTTAAAGAAATATCAATAATCATATCATAGTCTGATTTAGAACTTGAAACTGAAATTAATCACTATCTTAATTATACCACAGTATTGTTTTAAAACTGATATATTAACTTTTATATTTATAGTGCCTTCCATTTTGGCCTGAAAATTTGTCAGGCAAACTTTGTGTGAGAGTTGTGGGCTATGAAGGATCCTCTAAACCATTCTTTTATAACCAACAAGATAATGGCACTTTATTGAGCTTAGAAGATTTGGTAAGTTTACATTATAAATAAAATTTCTGTGATATTAAAATATAAAATATTTTATGAACACATGTTATAGAATCTACTGATGATCATTTCAGTGTGCTACCATATCAATATATAATACTGTACATGCATATTAGTGGATCAAAGTCATTTAGCTTTTCATTAAGAAATTTAGAGATTTTTTTTGTCTGTATAACTGATTGAAATTCCGAATATAAATACATGTCACACATTCATTTTATTTTTCTACACCAGAATGGGGGTATCTTGGTGGATGTAAACACTGCTGAACATTCAACTGTCATAACCTTTTCTGATTACCATGAGGGATCTGCACCTGCTCTAATAATAAACCACACCCAGTGGGATGTCCTCTCATATAAACAGAGGTATGGAGAAAAGGTTCATAGAAAGTCTGATTTATTTTTACTTGTCCACTTGAAAACTTGTAGAAACACTTGAGGTTAAATGTTATACATTCCAAGTGTGCTCCAAATTCCCAGAATTTAGGAGGAGAATATGAAAGGCATACTTTTTATTTTTTCAAAGATTTATTTATTTATGCATACAGATATAGGGACAGGTCAGAGGTGCAGGGGTGGTAAGAGACTTCACCAGAGACAGAGAGGGAAGCAGAACAGGCAGATTGATGAAGTGCACTGCTGAGGGAAGCAGCAGGCAGGTCAGGAGAGGTCTGCCCAGCCATGTGGTCACCTCCTGGGGCGGGGATCGAACTCATCTGAAGTGGCTTTAGCTTTTTATTGCTGTGCTTTAACTCGCTGTGCCACCAGAGAGGGCCGAAAGATACACTTTCTTAATAATAACATTCAGCAAATTTTGAGACAATACACTTTGAATCAAACTCATTAGTAATCTGTAGCAAAACCTAAGAATTTTTCTGCCAAGTGGGATAAATAAAAACTGTTAATAATAATAAATAACGCATCAGTACAGATTAGGTTTTGCTGCCAAATGTGACACCAGACTTATAGAAAAAATCTTTGGGCTTTGTAATCTTTTAAATTTCAGAATTGCATGTGAGGTTTATGGTCCTGATTAAGCATTATCATTCTTTTGTAATCTGGAAATGCTCAGTGAGCCTCTTTCTATAAATCTCTATCTAGTTTTGGTTTTGGTAGGGATAGTAGAAGATTAAGTGAGAGAACAAATGAAAGATAGTGTTATTGAATGCATAGAACAGGATGATAGGAGTTTTGTCTATCTTGCTAGTGCTGTTGTTTAACTTGAGGGATGCCATTATTTAACATCATTTAAAAGCTTTATAATATATAATATATATTTGTAAAGACTTGTTTTAAATCTTCATAGATTTACTTTTCATATATATATATAAATTCTAAATGTTCAGAGAATTTATACTGCATGTATAAATTCTACATGGAATGACATATATGTAAAATAATTCATTAACTCTCCTGGCTTGAATCCACTGATAGATTTATTTATATTTTTTATTGCAATTACACTGCATTTTAACAATATCAGTTTCAAGTATATATCATTAAAAATCAATATGTGCATATGCTACATTAAGTTTATTACTGTGCCCTCCCTGGGGCACAGTGGGTTAAAGCACAGCACTGCAAGCTAGGCACAGCGGCTTTAGTGCATGTTTGATTCCTGGCCCTGGAGGTGATCCATATGGTACAGCAGACCTCTCCTATCTCGTCTGCTGCTTTGTTGTGTACTTTGTTGATCTGCCTATTCTGCTCCCCACTCTGTCTCTGGTGATTCCTCTCACTGCCCCTGCACCTCTGACCTGTACCCCTGCTCTGGATGAATAAATAAGTAAATCTTAAAAAAAACAAGATCTGAAAATCTGTTAAGTGGAGCCCTGCATTTGATCAGGTCCCCAGTAACGCTGATATTTCTAGTCCATGGACAACACATCGAGTAGCAATAGTATGGGCCCAATTATTTTTTCGGTCCTATTTCATACATATTGCATTTCATACATATTGCATTTTATTAAAAAAACTAAGTTTAAGTACTTGAGTGAAGTTCTACTAGAGAATTTACTGTGCAGCCTTTTCTGTAGGTGCTTTTGTTGTAGGAGTATTTATTTACCTTAATGAAATGCATTGGTTGTGATCTTGCTTGGATCAACTCTGGGTAAAATGCATCTTCAGAAGCTTCTAAACTATTTCTTTGTACGTTAAGCCTACTTATTTTTAGGCAAAGACGTGTTATAGTAACAGAGCTTATTTTATAAGATTATTGTATTGATCCCCTCTTAAATAAGTTAGGGGCCTGGGTTTCTCAAGGCCAGCATATTTTAATCTTCTCTCTGTTATTTTTTAGTGGATCACAAGAAGAAGTGGTATTGCTGCCAAGACAAGCTCGACTTTTTGCCTGGGCAGATCCTACTGGTACCAGAAAAGTTACATGGACATATGCAGCAAATACTGGAGAGCATGATTTGTTAAAGGTATCATTGGATGTGACTCACTGCTCTTTGAGTAGCCTGACAGGAGAAGAAACTAGACTCACAGGGTCATCTTTCTAAAACTTTTCTTACCTATGTCAGTTACTGTAGTTGAATTTTATGTAATAAGAATTTACTTCATGTGGTTTTAATATAAACCCTCTGTTTTCTCCAGGATGAATGTGGACAGTTTCCATATGATGCAAACATCCAGATACACTGGGTATCATTCCTAGATGGGCGCCAAAGAGTATTGCTTTTCACTGATGATGTTGCCTTGGTTTCCAAAGCACTGCAAGCAGAAGAAATGGAACAGGCAGATCATGAAATCACCTTTTCTCTCCACAGTCTTGGGCTTTCACTAGTTAACAATGAAAACAAACAAGAAGTTTCATATATTGGGATAACCAGGTATGGAAAAAGAAAGATTGTTTTTTAAAGATTTATTTATTTATTTATTTATGCATATAAGAGCTGGGGTGTAGGCCAGAGGTGTGAGGGATGAGAGGATTCACCAAAGACAGAGTGGGGAGCAGAACAGGCAGATCTACTGAAGTATACTGCTGAGGGGAGCAAGGGTCAAGACAGGAGAGATCTGCTGTACCATGTAGGTTACCTCCTGGCCAGCTGGGAATCAAACTCTTGTTGCAGTGACTGGTCATAGCCCAACCCCTGTGCCACCAAAGAAACTCAGCATCAGAATTCTTTAAAAGTGTTAAGTTCACAATATTCAATTTGATGTGAGTAAAGAGGTACCTGTTCTAATTTGATATGCTGTACATTCTTTCAAAACCTCTAAGCGTTTTTCACTTTAAATGGAAAAATCTCTTACATAAAAGGTGACTGATGTGTCTTTGCTTGTACAGTATACATCATCAGTTGATAAGAAAAAGGTGCTTCTTTTGTTGTTTATGTTTTGTTTTTTTTAAAGATTTATTTATTCATTTATTCATACAAAACTGGGGTACAGGCCAGAGATGTGGAGGGTGAGAGGATTCACAAGAGACAGAGTGTGGAGCAGAACAGGCAGATCGACGAACTACACTGCTGAGGGGAGCAGGGGGTGGGTCAGGAGAGGTCTGCCACGCCATGTGGATCTCCTCCAGGGCAGGCGGGAATCAAACTCATGCAGAGGTGGCTTAAGCTTCCTTCGTCACCAGGGAGGGCCCTGTTTATGTTTTTTAAATAAATTTTAAAAACATTCAGAAATGATACCAAAAATTTATATACTCATGGAATAAAAATGCAGAGGTAGAAGCAACTAACTTGTTTTGTGCTGGAGAAATTGGCATGGGTTAGAGGAAGACTGTAATGATCAGTCAAATACATTTCAAATACAGAACTGTATCAAATTGACATTTGATGTTTACATAGTCTTTAAGGGGTAGTTATTAGAACTTTTTAATAGAGATGGGACCAGTTTTTTTTCTTGTTCTGTTTATATCTGTGAGAAAAATATTTAAGGGCCCTCCCTAGTGGGGTAGCAGGATAACGCACAGCACTGTGAGACTATCTGCAGTCACTGCAGCATGGGTTCCATCTCCAGCTAGGGAGGTGACCCACATGGCATGGCTGAGCTCTGCTGGCCTGCCTCTGCCCCCCTCAGTAGTGTATTTCAGTCCATCTGCTTGTTCTGCCCCTTGCTCTGTCACTGGTGAATCCTCTCATCCCCTGCACCTCTGGCCTGTACCCAGTTCTTGTATGCACAAATAAATAAATAAATCTTTAAAAAAAATTTGTATTTATTTAATTTAGTTTTTTTGAATCATACTAATTTTGATAAAAGACTCATTTTTATATGGAGGCCAGTGGGTGGAGTGTTTAGTATATCATCATGTATAATCAGTATAGGAACTATAATAAACTTGTATTTCGTTTAAAATAAGTAATAAACAGATTGATGTGTGCTTTGCACAATAGTATTATACATACTGTTAATAAAATATTAATGCAACTATATACAGAATAATGCATTCTCTTGTTTGTACACTTCAGAATTATACAGTATTTTTTAAACTAAGTATCAAAGTTATTTTTAATCATATAAACCTAATTTTCTTTTAATATCACTTTTTACTTTAATATTATATGTA